TCAGGGCTGAAGTAGCTGTGGAAGGGTTAGAACAACTGTTGTATAGTCCAAGACTGTGGAACACGTACTATCCGTTGTAGAGCTGGATGGACCAGTTGTGGGTGACGAACTGGTCACGCAGGGCGCGGACCTGGCCGTCCAGGACCAGACCCTCGAGGTCAAGGTGGGCATCGCGGAGGATGGTCATGGCGGGGGCTGCAGCATGTTAGCAAGTCCTAGCTGGAAGTGCAGTGTGGGGTGCAAGACACATACAGTCGTAGCAGCCACGGCTCTTAAGACCGATGAAACGGTTCTCGACAATGTCAATACGGCCAACACCGTGGGTGAAACCGATCTTGTTGAGGGTGTAGAAAAGCTCAACGGGGTCGGTGTACTCCTTCTCGGGAGTGACAAGCTTGGTGGGAACACCCTGCTCGAAGTGGATGGTGAGGTCGGTGGGCTCGTTGGGAGCGGTCATAGGGTCGGCGGTCATGGTCCACATGTCAGCGGGGGGAGTGTGGTTGGGGTCCTCCAGGACACCTATTGACTGGTCAGTAAATTGATAAGTAAACTACTGCCAATGGTTCAACTTACCAGCCTCGTAACTGCAGTGGGCGGAGTTGGCGTCTATACCAATAATTAGTACACTTGAGAGCAATTACGCGCGGAAGAGCAATTTGACGAACCCATGGACCAGGGCTTGGCCTATATCATACTGTATTAGCCTGTATTCGCGCAATCTGTATAGACACCACTCACCTTGGTGGAAGTAACGGGGATGCCGGTCTGGGCGGCGTAGTCAAGCAGATCGTTGCGACCAGCGAAACGCTTGAAGAACTTAGGGTCACGCCAGGGGGCAATGACCTTGATGGAGGGCTGGATGGCGTAGAAGGCGAGTTCGAAACGGACCTGGTCGTTACCCTTGCCGGTGGCACCGTGGGAGACGAACTGGCAGCCTTCACGTTGAGCAGCGCGCATCTGAGCGCGGGCAATCACAGGGCGAGCCAAGCTGGTACCGAGAAGGTAGCGACCCTCGTAGATGGCATTGCACTCTGCGATGAGAGATTAGCGGACTGATCGGGGCACGTAGCCGGATTAGCAGTCTTACGGATGGCGGGGAAGCAAAGCTCGGTGATGAATTCACGGCGCAAGTCCTCGATGATCATCTTCTTCGCACCGATCTTGAGAGCCTTGGCCTCGACAGCGGCCCAGTCCTCCTCCTGGCCGACATTGCCGAGGAAGCAGACGACATCGTAGCCCTCCTCTGTGAGCAATTGTTAGTCGAGCCGATGGATATTTGACCGGAAATAGGGAGGAAAATGTACCGATAAGCCAGCGCAGAATGCAGCTGGTGTCAAGACCGCCTGCAATGGAAATTGTCAAGTTAGTGCACCGAGCCTTATCAAGACCGCAATATTGCGGGGTCGGGCGGGCGAGAACATACCGGAGTAGGCCAGACAGACACGGGGCTTTTCAGAGGCCATTGTGATTGTGTGAAGGGAATTGGTAGGGGAAATCGAATAGACCGGCGGGAGAAGAGGTTGTTGGGCAGCAAAGAAGGATGAAAGAAGAGACTTGGGAAAGAAAAAAGATCGCTGTGGAAGATCAGTTTTCGCGATGGCTCATTCAGGCGGTCGATGCAGGTCGTTGACTCATCCGGAGTCGGAGCTAGTGCCTTACGTAACGATTTTATCGACGAGCCAATCAGCGACTGTGGATCGTCCTGCATCGATAGGGAAGTCATTATCGCTTCGTCCGATAAGTAATCTCCGTGAATAATGACTCACTACAATACTGGGGGTAACTATGCTTGCTGTGTGTCCTGGATAGCATTGGAGGGGAGAATTACAATAGTTAGATCATACCTTCCTCCAGTTTCATAAATCGACCAGAATCAGTACCTTTTACTATGCAAGGAACAGGACAGAGCAGGAGATATTTCTGTAGTCACGTGCACCACTTCCCCGACGGCTAATACAAACCCTCCGATATGGATCCGGGGAAGGGCCCCGGTTCCTGTATTGTGTGCACTCCCACGAAGTAAATCCTTATTTATCATTGAGCACATATGATTAGTTCGTTGTGAGCTAAGAAGAAGAGGAAAATTGGCATTGGAACATGCTGTCGGCTTATTTTGCGGTTTAACTGCAATTCAATATTCCGTGTCAGAAAAAGCATCGCATGCACTCTGAAGTCACTAATTATATGTTCCTGCAATTGAAGCCAGGGTCAATTTGACCACCATCACATTCAACTTGTATTAATCTACCAAGGAGACCATCTGACAGTGAAGCATCAGATGAACTCACACTTTTAGCAAACACTTGTTGTCTGTTTGTATAAATAAAAGTAGAGCTAGTAGCTACTTTTTTTGTCAAGATGCCCCAACTATTTCAATATCCGCTTTCCAGTTCTGCATCTCCAGCTGGTATTACGATCAAATGAAGTATATACATTTGGTTAGCTGCTGGCGATTATGCTAGCTCATCCTCACTACTAGGTCGGTTTTGTCTCTAAACCCTAATATTCAAGCATCGATTGGGCGCAATACCAAAAGCGCTGACAGCAGTCAAGGTTGTCTAAAACTTCCTTAATACCCCACTACTGCAGCTAAGAATAGATAGTAGTACGAATAGCTTTCCCCAGGAATTTGAAGTGGCGCTAGAGCAATTTCGCAAAACGAACATCAATGGCCAGGTCATCTATCGATCATTTTGGACGAGTGACGCCTTGCTTTCGCTGTAGTGTAGATGTTACGGATTGCTACCGAGAAAAATTGAGAACAAGTTTAAGTGTAAACATTATTACTTGTCAGATAGCTGTAGGTTGAAAAATTAGTTCCTGAACCAGGGCAATGAGTCACACTTGGCCGTAGAGACACTGCGGGCCCATATATCCCGTCACGAATGGTTACCGGACGATCGTTATAGCCTAGTTCGTCTAAAGTAACACCACCCAGATGAAGCAGCCTATCATTTCTCTTGTGGACTAGAGAGCACTTCAGTCTGTCATTTACACATAAAGCACTTCAAATTTCCCAGATAGGGCAGAGACTCTTGTGTAATGGCGCTATAGACACCTTCATGTCTAGAGACTTGTTTCAAATGATATGTACATAGCTCAAGCTTTGATTAGATTCAATAGATGTGCTGCATACATTAGTACCATATAGTATAAGCTGTTCCAATACACACTTTCGTCTTTCTTTGGTTCTGTAGCTCAGGACTCTTGAAAGTTCTGGATAGGAGACTAACAGGAAGCATGATCAAGGAATGTGAATGGCTTCTTTGCTGTTCCCATTTCCCTGACCGACATCTTCTTAACATCTTAAGACAATAAGATTATCATAATCTTCTTTCAACTTTCGCTGGTACTGTGCAACTCCTAGCTATGGTGTGAAGCATCTTCTGCTTATGCCGCGAGTTGGCCGTATTTATGCATATATTATGTAATCAACACTAGTCCCGATTAGCTGAACCGGCCGGACTTCTTCCCAAGTATTAACCTTCTTTCTTTGCTCCTCAAGCAGCATTCTCAAGATGGCGTATCTCAGATCTTCTGCGTTCAAGTCCCTGCTGAGGACTCGGGCATCCTCCCTATGCCCTCAGCAAAGGCGCTGGGCCCAAGTGCACGATGTCCGCTTCCTCGCCACACACCACGATCCCAACCAAGTGCTGGACAGGTACCGCTCGAAACTCAAGCAGAAAGCCCAAGCGTAAGTCGACCGCGACAACAGTCATGAACGACTCACTCACTCCTCTCACCATAGAGAGGGACACCAAGACATCGATTCTCTGAAGGAGGCCTACAAGGAGAAGATTGAAGAGTACCGTCACAAAGCAACAACTCCTCTCACTCCAGAGCCGCCCAAGTCCTCGCCCTCCCCGTCCTCGACCGGCCCTTCACCCCCTCCTCCTCCACCTACTCCCCAGGCTCGCGCCGCCTCCTCCGCCACATCGACTGGAATCAGACCTCTTGACTCGTTCATTGATGTCGAGAAAGTGCGCAGCCTCCCGCCCAAGGAAATCGAGGCCATCTGGCGTCTTCGTTTTGCCAACAACTCTCATTCGGTCTGCGCCGTAATTCCGGTAGAAACATACCAGCGCATCGTCTCCGCCGCACGCCAGAACCCCCAATTCGTTCTTCCCCTACCCCGTACGCAGAGTGAGGCGCAGACCGCGGAGGAGAACGCAGAAGCCGCCAAGGGCGGTGCGGACATTCATTTCCTCCAATGGGGTTTCCATCCTCCAGCGTCTCCGACCGCTTCTTCCGCTGCTTCGGCCAACGACCACACTTCCACGATCATTTTCACAGCGCTGGCTTCGTATCAGCTACATGGCTCGTATGCGCAGCCGCATACGACGGTCACACATTATCTGGATCTGGCGGATGAGAAGGGTCTGGTTCTGATGAATGGTCAGGTGATGCCTGATTCCGGAGTATCTGCGACAGATGCCACCTGGCTGGTTAGCTGTGTTCAGCGTTTCTATGACTTCGGGGGTCAGGCGAATGGACGGAAAGGCGAGCTTCTGCAGGCGTTCACTCGTGGTGACGTGCAGAACTTCAAGGTTGAGGACTTGATGGCAGAGGCCGAGAAGTTGTAAGGGTCCCACTAGAATTGTAGATAGATAGATTGTACGATATACGTTTTACCAATACGCAGCCTTTCCCGCGCGGGTATTTAGCTTGTAATTAGCCTCGAGGTTGATGAGTTGGGGGTCAAGCTATCCACACCCCCCAGTATTCCCGGGAAGATAGTGAGGAAGATGATGCAGCAGCTGATGTGAGAGTGACTGGCTGTCGCCGGTCCGCCAACCAATCGGGCTTACAGTGGCTAGTAGGACTACTACTACTACTACTACTACTAGTGCTTAGTATTTTTTCCTAGCCTCCTTGTTTTTCACAGCCTTGTCCTCCCTAGTGTCCAATCAAATGCATGGTGTCATTCCACTTGCACTCCGCACTGAGTCAGTAAATGCTTCGGCGCAGAGCCTTGTCTCCTAGATTGAGGCACCATGATACTTCACATTTGCCCTGACTTCCCCATCTGATTTCAGTGTCGAGCGATAACTCTATAGAGCCCTAAATCTTACGAAAATATCCACTTATATTTCTTGACAATTTCCACACAACTTTCACTGGACTTATCTTAGCCTCAACTGCTCGCTCGATTTCTCGACCATTCACTATGATGAGAGATGCAGTAAGCTTGCATGAATGGCGTCTTATCTTTGAACAGTGCACCACTCAGGATCTGTCCCACCTCTGCTTGGTCGACAAGATCTTCAACTCGATCGCGACACCCCTTTTGTATCGATCTATCTCCCTGGTGGCTTATGAGAATCTCTCTGGCTCCCGTAGGTTGTCCAACTCTACAAAAGTGAAAACGGAACCAGAATTGCCTACAGGCCCTTGGCTTCTATTATCTCGACTGGAAGCCGACGAGAATGACACCTTACGAGCTTGGGTACAGGAAATCAATATTTCGAGTCCTTCTGCTTGGGCAGACGAGGATTTCCTAGAACGACTCCAGAGCAATGATTGCTTGGCCACACTGATTGCCCGTCTGCCAAACCTTCGACGGATTACCATCGGCTTTCCCAGTATTCAATCGACAACATTGATTCGCACCATTTATGAGCATAAAAGGAAGCCAGAACTTCTCCTACTCAACCAGTATAGCGAGGAGGTTAACTCTAGCTTGGCGGAGCAGACTCTACCCCGTGTCACGACCCTCTCTGCATCAGTGAGCCCAGCAATTGACGGAAACAGGCCAGATAGACAGATACCCACGTTACAAAGATTGTTTTTCAAATGCCCACATCTCCGGTCGTTCTCGCTTACTGTCATGAGACCGTATGGTGGTTGTGTTATAAGGATCCCAAGGCATCGTGTTATATGGCGCTTTCAGCTTACAGGCGAAGAAACATTCCCTCCACTCGAGCATCTTTGCCTTGACGGATATCGGATGGACGATCAGCATTGGAGCTTTTGGCGTGATGGGCTTCAGTGGGACAAGCTGGTGTCACTAGCCGTAGGACCGCAGAGTTGCGCTGGCTTGTTTCGATGTCTAGTTGGCTTTACCAGATCACTAAAGATCCTTAAAGTGTCTGTCTGGGCAGGCGAAGGCGATGATGAGCGAGAGGAACTCATCGAATGCCTTTCATCATTTGATTCTCTGGAAACCCTGGTTTTAAAAGGGTACATGTGCCCGGTTGAGGTGATTTCCCGTCACAGTAACCTATCTACTCTCTGTCTGCATGAAGAGGAATCTGCCCGCAAGGAGCGTCCGCGACAAGTCCTAACAGCGGAGGAGCTCAGTCAGCTCGATGTCAACTGTCCCAAATTGAAGTCACTCCAAGTGGGAGTCAAGAGAGAGAACGATCAATGGGTAAGCCAATGTATCCTCTGTCTTATACTATCACATGAACCGAGATCTAACCACACCATAGCCCGACGACGTCTTCGACAGACTAGCAACCGGTTTCCACAACCTCAGGAGCCTATCTATGCACTTTGAACTAGGCCTCTCCGACATACATAACCCCATCACGCCTCTTATAAATTATGCCTCTGTGAGGAGCATTGGCCAGAATTACTTTGGCCTTAGAAAGCAGGCGGGCATCGAAGTATTCGAATCGTTCACCTTGACCGTCTGGACAGGTAAATACTTCCGTCGCTTCCCACAAAGGCCACTACTGTACGCCGGTTTCGAGAAGAAATTCTCAGCCACTTACGAGATATCCTTGCCGAGTGATTCCTCCGGTGAGGTCCAAGTCCGCCATTTGGAGAAAGAGCGATTGGACCTGGTCAACTCCAAGAAGATCAAAGTCCATTCGTACGAGAGGATTGGGCTTGCTCAACAGGTTGCTGCAGCCGTGGAAGGCCCAAAGGTCGAGGATTGCTCGGAGTGAGGAAGGAGGAAGCCTATCTTCTTTCTATTATGCTGGTCGTAGGGCTGGGGGTTCTGCCTAGCATATGTTGTTGATGATGTATACGTGTTCTTTTGGGCTGGTATGAAATGTCGCAGTGCATTTGTCGTTATGGTACATCATATATCTATTTCACTCGGAGTTGTTTGTTCATGCTAATAAGCTACCGTGACAGACAATATCCACATGCATTATGTGAAGGAAAGACAACTACGCTTGAACTTATCCCCAATCACAGTAACTAGCAACGCATAAGAACCATCTCGCAGCCGATTAGTCCGTGACGGCTCCACGGATACGATGCTGTGATATTGTGTTGCATGTAGGCAAGGGTCTGATGCTTCTGTAGATTACATAGACACAATCCACATTAAAGTATACCATCGTATAGTATTCATATGCTATATAGCAAACATAACCTATTTACAAACCACAATCCCTCATACCCACCCCACCACCCAACCCCCTAATAACCCCTCACGAAGCAAACGCCGTCTCAATCTCAAAGCTAACATCATTATTAAACGACGTCTTCGAATCAAACGTCTGCACACCACCATTGCTAGCAGCATACAGAACATTCTCATAATGTCTGAAATACCTCGTCGGGTAACTCCACGAGCGCAACGAAGTGCCCTCACCATTCAACGCCGCCTGGGGACAGAAAGTAGCATCCTCATGGAACTGCTTCGTGCCATCATTGGCATTAAGCAGCAACTCAAAGTTATAATGCCGGATATAGCTACCAGGGGTATCAACCGACTCGAACGAGAAGCACTGGCTGTTAGCCAGACCAGTGACAACAGTCCAGCTAGCCTCCTCCTTCAACGTCGTGGAACTATCATCATCCACAACCTGAGTGTTCACAGTCGTATCAGTGTGCGCGATATACCTCGTCGTGTACCCCGGGGTCGTGACACGCAGCGAGACCACCTCTCCGGAGGTAAACGACGGACCGCTAACCAGCGAGCCGACGACGTATTTAGCAGCGACGATGTTCTCCTGGACGGAGTTCTCGGTATCATCCGAGGGATATCCGGAGGTCATGACACCCTCGTAGAAGGTACCCTGGGCGCCGTTGCTGTTATCACCACCAATACCCAGGATGATAGCACCCTCCTTGCTCATGGGGTTATAGCCGGAGTAATCCGGACGGGCTCCGCTATAGTACGTGGACAGGGAGCCAGAGGCAGCATTAGCGCCGCGAATAGCCCACTTATCAGCGCCGCCCTTGACCGCGGCAGTGACGAAGCGGTAAGAGATAGACGGATCACCCGAGTTATATCCCTCGTCGGCACCGGAGAAGAGGTTATTCTCCATGTCAACCATGATCCAGGGTCCATCGCCGGCACCGTAGCCCCAGGTGGTGCTGGTACCGAGGTAGATGGCCTCCATGTGGCCGGCGCCGGTGTCGGTGCTGCTGGTTTCGGCATTGCCGTAGTCGAAGCAGCAGGCATCATTGTAGTGCGTGCCGTCCAGGACGGCGTACATGCCTTCGGCCTCGTCGCCAGTGGCGGTGCCTGTGGCTTCGTTGTTGCGGTACCCGGTGCCGGGGGACATGAACACGCCGTAGGCCTTTTGGCCGTTCAGGGTGACGGGGGCGCCGATGGCGCTGGCCAGGTTGTCGTAGCCGTCGGTGTCTGGGCCGTCAAAGCCACCTGGAGGTGCTTGGGTCAGGTGGTTACCGTTGCCGGATTGGTCGTAGATGATGGTGATCAAGCAGGTGGTGTTGGCGCAGAAGGTGTCTTGCGCGGAGGCATCGGCGACGCCGCCGGCTGTGAGCGGGGAGATAGTGGTGGTGGTGTCATCGGAGCCGCGCTGGAGCTGGTAGAGGGCGCCGCTGAAGGAGCTGTACAGGGCGCGGGTGGTGCTGTGTGCGGCTACGCAGGGAGTGTCGCCGGCTTCGTAGATGTCACAGGGACCGGCGCTGACGGTGGCGGCTAGCCCTAGGGCGAGCAGGTTTCGGCGGGAGAACATGGTGGTGGATGGATTACTGCCTGCTCAGGAAGGTCTGGGCTAGGAGAGGACTCAGACAGTAGTAGGATAGGCCGCTTGGGGGAAGAAGTCATGCTACTAGGGTGAGAAGGGGAGCTTATTTATATTCTTCACTGCAGTGAAGTGCCCATGCATGGAGTGCATGATATGGGAAGTCTAATTACATGTGTGGCTTCAGGGGTCAGGGATTTTCCTCCAATATTGGGACATCCTGTATACATTGTCAAGTAACCGGTCGGTTAAAAGGCTCACTTTCGAGGCAGCAGGAATGCGTTGTTCCACCTGATGTCAAGCGACGACGGCATTCCGGCGGGCGTGCAGGGCGTCGTGGAGTATGTACCCCGCAGGATGGGAGTGATTTAGTTGATTTAGTTCCTGAAGGCTTGACAATGACATTGTCCGTGCCTAGGGCTAATGCTAGTGCCGCCGGGGTTTTGCCCGGAGGGGATGCGGGGGGAGGAGACTAAACTGTGTTGCCCGCTCATCACAATTCGTCACGTTTCTTCAGGGATCTGTTCCTCCTGGATCAAGCCTCGGTAGTTGTGGAGGGGATGGAGGTGCCGCATTCCTGTGGAAGTTTGTTTTGTAGAGGGTTGCTGAATGCTTATCCGGAGGCAGTGTGTTTTCGAGTAATGGGCCAGTTTTGGAAGCTACAATTTGGATGCCATTACCCCAGATATTGAGAAATGAATGTCCCTGAATAGCTGCATGATGATCGAAACGAATTCCGCTTTGCAACAAGTATAGTCGAAATAGCATAAAGTAGACAAAACAACCGACCCGTGTCCGTCGTACGATCTTTACGTTTGGGAAGGGGGCTGGCTTTAACCGGTGCAGTGAGGGGAACCCATGTTCTTCATACCATGTGGTCATGCTAATTGAACTCTATCAGGATACTATCCAGCCTTGTCTTTTAGTTTAAGCTGTGAATGGCTGCGTTTGAACTGTCTAGCTTACCGGACCCACTAAGCACAGCCCAAAGGAGATGCCGTCGGTTATATCATGATGCATGAGTAGCCCAACCGACTATTGACGTCTGGAGCGTCTGTGAGAAACGCGGACAATTACCGGACACCTTCCGAGACAGTCCATGATACAGCTCTACGGAATAGCTTATTATGGCTAGAATAGACCTGCTCTGAGCATCTTGAAAGGAGAGATTGAATGCCAAGCGGCCCTCCGCATCGTCAGTGGCCCTCGGCAGGCTCGGGCCGCCCGGGTTCCTGGGCATGTTGAACCCAAATCAAGCAGCTGACCTGGTTTGCTTGGCGAGGAGACATTGCGTGAATCTTATTCTCAGCACTACTTCTAAGAAGCTTATGGTGTAATAGTCTGCCCCCCCTAGCACTAATGTTGACTGTCTGCTCGCCTCAAACCTTCCACAAGGGCATTCATATTTGGTGGACGACCCAAGAACTTCTCTAGCATCTGAAACAAGTCTTGCTGGCCGCCACCGTTTTGCAGAATCTCACGACGGTACTTCTCCCACTTGTCCTTCTGGAATGGGCCTTCAGCAAAGACAGAAAGAAAGACGTCCTGGGCCATTGCCGTGCAGCTTCAAGAGGGTTAGCCTTCACGAATGCTACGATAGAGCAAGTAGTCGGAATGGGAGAGGTACATACATAAGATAAGCATAGTAGCAGACATCATAGCCCGCTGTCAGATGACTGAACGTTCCAAATGCAAAGCCGTCTCGACACTCGGAGAAGTCCATACTTTCAACCTCCTCACGGAGGTCATACCAGAGCTTCTGAACATTTAGGCCAGAAATATCTGCATCTGTCTTGAGACTATGGATTTGCAAGTCGAAGATGGAGATTGACCTGCTCAAGTTAGATTAGTTGAATTCAAAGACATAAAGCAAAAACATACAACTGATACAAATGATAAAGCCCTCGGTTCAGATAACGATGCTTGATAAGGCGTTCGACTACATCCTCCGGAATTTTCATTGGCGGATCGGGTGAGCTGGGATGTTGCTTGCGCCACTCCATCAGGTAACTGTTCTCTAGCGTAGTATAGTGGCAGCTGAGGCCCTGCAGAACCTCTTTCATCCAGCACCAGTTCTCGAGCATCATACTGGGCATCTCTCCGAAGTCAGGGGGAAGCCGGTAGCCATGAAAACGGACGTATTTTGTTCGTGCAAGGAGATCGTGGATTCCATGACCCATTTCTGTGTCTTAGGTTAGGATATATTCGATTTTGTTTGATTTAGGCTTACCGTGGAAGAGGGTTACCACTTGATGGTGCTTGAGCAAGGCACAACCGGTGGGAGTGGGAGTAGGGAAGGAACACATGAGGATTGTGGCAGGGTATTGCCGACTGCCATCCGGGCGGAGGTAGCCCTGAAATTCTCCGTTAGTCTGGATCCAATCCGATATTGCTAATGTAGAGGCTGGCGCATACACATGAGATTCACGCTCTGGTTACCGCGATATTTGTTTTCTCTCCATAGCAAATCGAAGTAGAGATAGCCAATAAATTGTTTGTCGGGGGTACTCTCCCAGACGGAGAATACGCGAACGGACTCATGCCAGAGAGACCCCTCATCAGCTTTGAGAGGCTCGAACTGGAGACCCAAAACCGAAGCAAAAATACCCAGCATCCCTATGGCTGTTTGTTCGAGGGGATAGAACTCGGATAGCTGCAGCTGGTCAACCGCAACCTCTTCTTCTACTAACCGCATGTAATAGGGTTTATCCCACGGAGGAAATCCCACACAATCTGTGTCATGCTTGTCTCCCAGATCCTTCACTCTCCTTTGCTGTAAGACTGCAATTTCATCTTTACCCCGGGCGCACAGTGTGTCCTTGAGGTTGTTGAGAAACCCACCTAGCCATTTCGGATCCTTTACCATACGTTGCTGTAGCCGATACTCGGCGTGGGTGGAATGATGCAATTGATGGGCCCGCCGAGCCCGTTGGCGAATGATCCTCTCAAATAATGGCTTATTGCTCTGGAGCTTGTGATTATCGGCCAAGAACATCTTCTTCCGCGTTTCGGGCCGACGAGCATAGGTCAACACTGCCAGTGTACCTCCGTTCGCAAAGGGCACAAATAGCTTTTCTTTTTCTTTCTCACCATCCGACGTCCACTTCCCCAAGTCACTCGCTGGTACTCCCTCCAACTCGTCCCGTGTAAACCATACGCCCCCATCTTCCCTTGATAAATTCTCCTGAAACTTCCTCTCTATTTGTCCAATGTTTGCCCCTTCCTGCAAAAAGCCCTCCACCTCTTCCGCTTCCAGCTCCCCGTGCCCTGCCATTCGGTATACAGTCAACTCACGTTCGAGCAAATGTTGCGATTCCGCATCGAATGACTCAAAGTCCTCTCGATTGTCACGGACAGCCTGTAGTAGAAGGAAGTAATCCCCGTTGGCGATCCATGCCGCCTGTGCTTCGGCATAGACGCTCAAGGCGGAGTGAACGACATCCTGGGTCTCCCGTAATGGAGCACCGTACTGTAGCATGTCGATCATGGCTAGCTGGCCTTGGACTGCATTTTCGGTCTGCGCCAAGGGAAGAAGAGTGTTCGCGAAGGTGGCTGTTTCTGGAGTCGTTGCTTTGAGTACTGAATTGCGCGTCTGAGTGAGTTCATCGATAATTTGATGCATGAGGGGGAGGATTTGGTCAGTGGTTGGGACACGGGGAAGCTGAAACATGATGTAGGTGACGGTTTGAAGTCAGGCTGCGAGTGTTAGGGAAAAAGATGTTTGGTAACCTGGGTGTCTGATCTGAATTAGTCCAGGGTATTGCAATGGGGAGCTGAAAGGAATAAGCATTCATTAATATAGTATCATTCTAATGAGACAAAAGAGGGGGAGGGGGCTGGTTAAGGCTAGGGCCTGCTTGGAGCTTCCTTATAGGGAAGAGTGACTATTGTAGTTCGTCGGGTGACTACCACTAGTGCATTGTGATTAGATTGCTTGGATCGTCTCCCCTGTTCCTGCATGGTTAGCGTTCTGTCCAAGGGATTAGCAGATCACGCCATAGCCACGTTTCATTCGTTCATCTTAGGTAGCATGGATATTGCTCTATCAAACAAAGACATTGAAAGGTCGTGACATATGTCGTCCGCCCAGATTGTAATTATTACTGTTAATTCTGGTTATGATAGATAGCAGCCTCGCACTTGGAGGTGATAGTACTGCACCAGCTCACTTCTGTCTTAACTCAGGATGGAGCCTTGCAGTCAAGACAGACACTCCAATATACCAGAAGTACTTTTGAAAATAGATACCCTGAGAGTAAGATGTCTTACATAGAGTCCACTTACGATCACGAACGGGAGAACCATCTCCGCGTCCGATTTATATAAATTGATACAGGGTCGTCGGACTGAATTCCACCATGACCCTAGTACATAGCTTTCTGGAGGTTAATTGTATAAACCTATGTCACCGACAAGAGAGCCCTGTTCTTGCGAGGTATTTTCGGACTCAATATATTTCCTGTCGCTTACAGCTGTGTATCTTATTGCTCGATCAGAAGGACATTGAATCCAGATCCAGGTTGAAACTGCATACGATTTAAGAATACTAGGGCTTTCGGCCCTCTGTTAGACTACTAAGTTTACAGCTATTGTGCAGCCATATGGCCTACAAAAAGTATGCATCAGGGTTACGGGTTGCTTAAAATATCCACGTCCTGATCCGTGGATCGGGCTTCAGGCACTTGTGCCGCGGAAAGTTGACCACCCAGAGCAATGTGCTGCCTGTGAGCCTATGAAGTATTGTAGAAGTAACCAGTGGTATCTCTTTAGCTCACTGTTGCCCTGTTTTTCATATAAATAATGTGCCAGATAGCGGAGATAAGCTTATATATTTTCCCCGTAATAATCCTACCAAAAAGGCTTGGCTACTACCCTGATACCATTGATGAAGTACGTGCTTTACAGGCTGTACTTTAATTTTAATTCATAATGAGTTATAGGGTCTACATCTCTAGATAAACAATGAAGAGTATAAGTGCAATCTTTCTATCGGGGTTAATGTTCGGATCCCATTGGGTGCTAAGAACACAACAAACCACATGACATCAATATCCCACTTGATCTCCGAGCGGGGAATATTTGGTGCAACTTCGGAATCTCCTGTTTGTCCCCCAACAATAACTCGATAACATACCAGGAAGTTTCACAGCCTCACCCTAGCAACCATGGCAAAGACAATTGTCGCAACTGGCATCTCATCCGGCTTGGTGTGCTTAGCTTTCCACCCTTCCATGTATCAATTTCTAAGACACCACAGGGCTTTGAAACAATCAAGCAGTTGCTTGAGCAAGCCGAGCCGTACAATTTCATCTTGGGCGCGCGAGACACGGTCAAAGTCCAGGCTGCTTACGATAGCCTCAACTATGACACTTCTAAGCATTCCATCACCATTTACCCACTCGACCTCCTGTCCTTGAAGAGTGTGCAGTCTTTCGCAGCAAATGTCCGTTCCAAGTTGGGTTCCGAGAAGCTGGCTTATCTCTTCCTCTGCGCCGGCACTCTGGACAATGGCGAAGGCCCTGGTCCAAATGGATCGCAATGGTGCTCGGGATATGTAGTTAACCACCTAGGTTCGTGGAATATGGATAGACTTTGAGCGTACGAAAGGGAAAGTGGATTCACTAACAATGAAGCAAACTTATATAACAGCCCCGCATTATCTGGTCCACTTGCTCCGTGATGTGCTATCTGCCTCGCAGTCGCGTGTTGTTTTCGTTTCTTCCGGGGCGATCCGTGGTCTCAGAGACCAGGATCCGGGTGAGATCCCTGCAATATCCTAGTACTGCGATCTGGCATTTATTGACTGTTCATGGCATAGCAACCCTTGACGTGGACTTGAAAGCCAACTCTGGCGCAGGCTATCGTCCGATATACAGTGCCTCCAAGTTCGTGCAGCTATTGGGCGCATTTTACTGGCGGCGTGAACTCCCCTCTTGCACGGTCGTTGCTGTTTCGCCAGGTCTCATTCCGAGCACTCCTCTCGCCTCGTCAATGGGTTTGACCATGGATATGCCCGATGCCAAGACTATCCCCGAGGGTGAGGATCACTCATAACTTACTCTTTACGTTGACTTGCTGACGAACATCTATAGGTGCTCAGAACCTCCTCCGCGCCTTTTTCATTAACGATTTCCCGGCGGATCCGGAACAGATCTTCTTGACTAGCTGGGGAGAGTGGTGGCCTAAGGATGTGTATGCCCTGGCCCTTGATGCTGACTTGCAGAAGAAGTGGTGCTTGAGCAGGGAGGAAATTGAGAAGACTGAAAGCATTGCTTGAACAAATCGTCGATGATGACGGACATATGATCAATGTAGATGTGCTGGATATATTTATGCCAGGGACTTAACACATACTTCGAACATAGATTCTTTCTTTCGAACTGCAGATGTAGTAATCTATGAGACTTAATATACTCCACTGGATAGAGTAAGGGGTGTAATTTCACTTCTGAGAGAATCATGATTGCTGTTTGCCCTCCGGTTGCCCGAGCTCACCCGTGCCGAAACCCAATGCACGCCAGATTGAATGCACCGAAACTGGCTGCCTAAATAAAAGTGTTGTAGACGTGCTAAATTAGCTACTGTGATGAAACCTCGTATAAGGCAGAATGCTTTGTTAAAGTCTCAGACTATCGAAACGTAGGTTACACAGCATGGATCCTTCAGACAACCCCATGCCGGTCGAACTTCCTATCTGACAGTCTAGCCCGGATGATAAGAACCAAATAAAGCAATACCCTTTGCCCCATATTACGGGTCTCACCCCGCAAAAAGCAAATGAGCGTTCTCGACCCCATCCATCCCAGTCTTACCACTCCACAGCACCCTTCACTATTGCTGCCCCCAAATCCCGCCCGCCATCTCATAAGCAATTTCATGAAATTGCCCCTCATTTAATTCATGAGAAAGCACCACTCGAATCGCATATGAGGTGGCATTAAGAGAATCAAGCTGGAGCTTGCGTTCCCCAACTACCCGCAGAATCCACACCAGCAGCTTCTCCATATGAAAGGGGAGCTGAGCGCGAAAGATGTTGTTGGACGAGCCCTCGTGAATATTTGTGATGATGATATCGACAGCGGGGGGTCCGGAGAACACTAAGCCTCCAGCATCACGGACTTCACCGGTCTCAGGATCGTTGAATTTGCCGTCCACAATGGGGCGGTTGCTTGCTGCATGCCAGCTAGGGGTGTGGAGCTCGTCGGGATGCTCGCGGTGGAATGGCTGTGAACGAAGCCTGGCGTCAGCCAAGAATTGGGCTAGAGGGTCACTTGCTTCCATAGTTATTTTGATGCTGGGATTGATGGCTTGATGGAAAGAGTTTGGTTGTGTGCTAATTGTTGATGGAAGAGATTATTAGGAAGGTGAAGGATGATGGAAGGAAGAGTTTCGTTCAGGGCTAGTGGACTGGGAATATACCTTATTTGGAGTCACATGATACCCTGCAAGGTTGGACAGATGTTGCCTGCCAATCGGTTTCTCTTGCTCGTTGTGGTTCTGTCAGCCCATAAGCTGAGCTTGTTTGCTCCTGAGTGCATTGTGTTACACAAGACCCTGGGGATCATCCAGGCAAACAGATTGTTCCCTGCTTTCGTTCCCGAGCACTCCCGCTGTCAGCCTTACAGAATCAGGGTCCGTCAATGCATCGTTCTCATGAGAAGTACGGGCACCAACTCTCTTTGATCTTTTCTTTGCCTGTACTTGGTGTGTCTTTACCCCATTCATTGGAATTCATGCTCTTTTGACAAGATGTGGAAGCAAAGATTCTGTCTACAGCAGTTACAGGCCACGGACAGTACTCGCAAGGTCTTTAGTAGCCTTGTCGATGTTACACAAACGAGCTGAGAATCAGGCGTGCCATATCTTAGCCTGGACTTCAATCACACCGGCTTCACTTCGAGCCGAGAAAATGCCCAAACAAGTCATCTAGAGAGCATAGCAGTAATGCCTCAGGATCAGCGCCATCACCACGGTGCTACTTGGTCGACCTGCAGCAGTTCTCCAGAATCACAAATACCGAGAACTATAGCACTCATCCAGCTCGAGACATAAAAGGCTCGTACCAGCCCATACTTCGGATGCCTTCTCCCTCATCAACAGCTTCATCACTCATTGACTACTCTACTATCTCTTGAAGCAATACAGCTTAAAAGAACCAACTCAGCCTTCACGATGCGCTTTACATCTTTCGCCATTACCACCGCCTTCCTGGCTACCATGATCTCTGCTACTCCAGTGGCTGAGCCTGAGCCCAACCCTGTTGAACTTGCTGCTCGAGCCAAGTACACCATCCACTGTAGTGGTGGTCTCAACCCTGATTCGCACTGCTTGACACCTCATTCCAAGTGTGACTCTTACGGCACGTACCTGGTTGAGTCTGGCTACAAGGAGCAGTGCAAGAAGTGTGGCTGCGCGAAAGAGTAGATCTTTCATCCTTGAGAAGGTATTTGTTAGATGTCTCGGGAACAAGAAGGATGGGTATCTTGCTAACATGGAGAAGTATAGTATGAACAGAAGCTGAGTTTGGGAAGGGGTATGAAGAATGATAAGGAATGTTTGAGGGAGGATGTGCTGGTCTACATGGGAAGATCTCTGTGTGTGAGAGGACTGCTTGTGATAAAGAACAGTGGATAAATTGTTTGGCTCAAAACTTATGTTGTAACCCAGTGTTAGAACATCAAAATGATATCATCTACTGTTCAGACTGTGACTCTTCCGGTATGGCATGGATAATTGTCCAATGCACGCCTTGATATAGATGGGGTATATTGAGGCCATCCATCTGTCGCATACGCATACAGGCATAAATAAGTCTTAGCGTGTACTACGCTTGGTTGCCTACTGTACTACTACAGAGGGCTCTGTAAAGCACAGTTCCTTCGTAAACATCTACGCCTCGTTGTCGGGGATCCGAAAGGTACACTTGTAATATAAAATGTTTCCATAACAGCTCGTCCGATTGTACTGTGTTTGAAGAGAATCATCGCCTTAGCTAAAGACAACTAATACAACAATATACAACACTAGCAAAAAGCAAAGCGTAGTAGCCATACAGAAGGTCAAAATGTAAACGAGTGTTGATGGTCAGACAGTCCTGTCCAAACCCACGGAGCTCGTACTGACACTCTTCTATCACACAAACGTCATTGAAACACTCAGACCAGCAGCATTATCCTGCATTTCCAGCAGCTATATGTCAGTTTTCTACCGATTATGAATATTGATCCCGTAAGTCCTCCAAATCACCAGAATTTATATATTCGCAAGTCTTGTAGTTGTGACATTGTTGATGAAATGTAACCGGTCACAACCAGAAGCAAAGCATACAGCGGTCCACCCCCAAGAGTAAGCCACAAACTCGCCTTCTGCTTCTGTTTCGTCCTACTATGAGCGGGTATCTGGTCACCCAGTGTCACGTCGTTGCCCTGGTCTTGGGTAGGGGGAAGGGATGGTGCAGGGTTTGGATCGAGTGGCGAATAATTGCCAAACCGATCGATTCAGTACAATCAAAATAGCAAGACCCTTCCCCCGGCAAGGATGAAATGTCTCGGGGGTGGGATACTGGCGGAAGACAGTGTTGATCTACGTCCTCTTTTTGCGTCTTCATTTGGGATATATACACCACGTCCCCATGTGACATTTCAGTCTGAGTGTCCTCCCGTCCGGGACAGTAGTCCATACCCACGCCCACTTGGTTAGTAAACGGCGTTGTGCACGCATGAATATCGCTGTGCACCTACCGGTACCGTCATACATGCCTCATATTTTTCACTTAATAATGGCAGGGACATCTGCTTCTGGCAGTACCGGTATGTCATGCGTATAGATTGGTCGAGTGTCGAGTCTGTCGACGTAACCATGTCATAATGCTCCTGGTAAGTACTGCTAGCCTGGAAAAGTTCTATAAAAGCTAATAGTTTCGAGACAGCAGTGAGGAGGATTTTGTATTAGCTATGTTCGATGAGAGGTCAAATTGTGTCGCACAACTGGGTCAATATCTGGTACTGATCCAGCCTCAAATACGTTGTTCTGTAACCCGACTTCAAAATATCTTTTGCATTGTCGCTGCGGAAAACCATAGGCGTGATATTGTGGTGTTCGAAGCATCATTGTAGTATAGAACACCCGCAGAATATTCAACTCTTTTAGGTAGCCATTCAATCAGAACATCACGCGTCTTGTTCTCCTCTGTGTGAAGCCTCTGCTAGTGGGTCGATGGCGACAACATGCGAAGGTAAACCCGAGAACGCACCATGGGATAGAGGTCAGATCGATCACAATTTTTCGCCATTACTATAGACCACTTTTGTTGCAATACCTCACCATGCAGCATATACAGAAGTCAGAAGAGATGGTGTACCTGCTTTGTACTGATAATAAGAGTTGATCCTCATGCGCGTTGAGTAGCTAGTCGTATCACGCTCCCGGCTGGAGCCAGTTTCCCCTGGTAGCCACGCCAGCTATGTGCGGCCCATCGACTGTGCCTGAGAATTTTAACTGCAGATGAGAGGACGCTGTATTGGCTCCTCTTGCCCGCGTATAGGGCATAGCTTCCATGCAGTGATGTGCTGTTCCGTCATGATGCCATCTCATGATGTTTAGACGATTGTAGTTCCTCAATATCGCATATCACATGAAATCGTTATAGACCCAAAATCAGACAATATGTTTCAAGGTTATCACTGTATAGTATACAAGCAGCCGATAGAACGTTTAGGCGGCGGGAAGCTGCGTAGCAGGGAGATGAGGGGTAGATGGTTGCTCAGTGCAACTCGTAGGCTGCTGCAAGTTGGAATACTGCATGGTGTGATCTTCGTCGCGAATTCTCTTTATAACACGAGATGCAAGACAGAGTATCTGCGTGTCATAGCAGGTTTGAAAGAAGTTGCTTGAACTGGCAATAATCGTTGCGAATTCAAGGCTCTCTTGTCGACGCCTGAAGGATGCTACCCTTGATCAAGGAACTAGCGCAGGTTGCTCCACCAAGTACATATATCTCTGGTTTTGAGCTAGGCCCTCTAGTAGTGTAAACTCAAGACATATGACAAGGACTAACAGCACTTTTGCTCTTGAGCGGACTTCATCCTTCTCACCACCATCTTTGTATCTGAGGTCTAGTGTGCTGGCATCTGAAATGCCTGTGATGAGATTTTGGACCTGCTTGATTGAGTAATATGGTATTCCCAGAGCAAATGTTCAATGACGTCTTATTGTCAGGATACCATGGAGCAGGGCCAGAGGTAAGTGAGGGAGAGATATCCTGAGGAGGAAGGCTGTATATAAAGCCGTGTAGGCGGCAGGGACGGAAAGACATCTAGTGAATTACCAGGATCTGGTTAATATCACAGTAGTATTTGCCACGACACCACTGCATTGCCGTTAATGATAATGACCCGGCGTTAATCTTGGGCTTAGTGTCAGATATAGAGCATGCTGCCGGAAATATGATCACACTCAGTCAGGGTTCTGGGCGAACTTTATACCTCCCCGGAGGCGGCATGTGCTTTGGTCATTGCTATGGCCCTCAGCACACCCAGTCACTTTTCTACTAGCCATGGGAGTTGCCACCGTTCTTCATAGTGTTGCAAGGCCACTCCCAATACGACATCTATATTGTGGGAGATGCCGAAGGAGTTTGTACCATAGTAGGATTGAAGCTCATCCTTTGAACTTGTTGGTCACATTTGGTGAAAGTGGCCTGCATTTGCCACAGATAGCACCTCATATCTGGCACGCAGTGCATGAGGGCCGCAAGCAATGTTAGCCACTGTACTCCACTAGCCACTGTTTTAGCAGTACATGTTTCTGAATCAGTACCAATCCCCAGGCTCTTACAGTGACTGTCGCTAAATACCACTAGAAGCTAAGGTATTATCTCGCTGACAAGTGTTCTCTAGCCGTCGTGCCATTTATAACTATTTCCATTCAATCTTTCTTCTTGGGTATTGACTCTACCAGCCTGAAGGACTTGAAGTATTTATTGTCAAATTGGAAAATAATTTGACCCAGTAACTGAAAGCTAAACGTTCCTCACAATCCATCTCACTGCGAGATTCATACTATATTTCATGAACTATCTAGGCGGTATTGACATTAACAGCCGTGGGATCGCATGCATGCATGCTCGGACATAAGCCGGGTTCATGGCTTGGGGAAGCTTCCCGAAAGAGTATGGGTGTCCGAGCTGGTCCTGCTGGTGACCCCATCTGGCGCCCAACTACACAAGCATAGGCTAATATCAGTCCCGGACCCCACGAGCTAAAGGCCGAGATGCGGGGTGCATGGATTTGATACCGATACATGCCTGGGATGGATGACCAAACAAGTCGGCTTTCATGGACGAGCGACACGATTTGAACCCTCAATGCGCCGGCCGAAGGACCGAGCCATAGAGGTATAAGAACACAGTGATCACGCATTTCTCGTTGAGCTCGTCTTATATCATGTCTTAAAATCAGTGACACATATCAAGTAATTGAACAAGATGAAGGGTGCCTTTCCAACGCTTAGTTGGTTGACCCTGGGCATGGCCTGTGTGGCAACCTGCACCAACCCAGTAGCCCAGACAAAGAATGGAAGTTATTATGGTGTCTACATGCCTCAATATAAGGAGGACTACTTTCTAGGGATTCCATTTGCTAAGCCCCCGCTGGCACACCTCCGTTGGGCTAATCCCGAGAGTGTTAATGAGTCCTGGTCGGGATTGCGCCCGGCTACAGGCTATGCGATGGTAAGAACCTGGACTGACCTTGCTCTGTGTTTAGTCTGAGACTATATACTTACATGTAGCACGGGTAATAGGAGTGCATAGGTTACGGTGGTGATCAAAAGGGTTATCTTCAGGTGTGGATGAATGTCACCTTTACGCTGTTCTCTCCTGACCAGCAGATTAGAGCGAGGATTGTCTCTACCTGAACGTGGTCCGTCCCGCTGGATACGACAACGCAAGTCTTCCAGTCCTTGTATGGATTCATGGTATGTAATGAAATCCATCCCGACAATGGCAAGTCACGCCCGATGCTGAACGAATGCAACAGGTGGCGGTTTCGCACAAGGCGGCACTCCCGACCTCCGTTACAATCTTACATTCATTGTTGAACACTCACTCAACATCGGCCAGCCAATCATCGCAGTAAGCATTGCATATCGTCTCGGTCCCTGGGGTTTCTTCAATGGGGTTGAGCTTGCCAATGAAGGATCGTTGAATCTGGGGCTCAAGGACCAGCGCCTGGCCTTGAATTGGGTGAAAGAGAACATCGCAGATTTTGGTGGTAGGTTTCCATATTGCCTTGAATAATTATAGTCCATGCTCACTTATTTGTGCCTCTTCTATTAAGGCGACCCAGATAAAGTGGTAATATACGGGCAGAGTGCCGGCTCCGAGAGCGTGGGATACCAAATCCGCGCGTACAACGGGCGGGACGACGGGCTCTTCCGTGGAGGTATGATGGAGTCCGGCGCGGTGCTACCTGGCAGTGGTTTGAACCTCACCTGGACGTACGAGCCCTGGTTTCAGCAGATAGCAGATGAGGCTGGATGTTCGCAGGCTGTCCGCAAGCTGGACTGTCTACGCCGCACGCCCTTCACTGTCCTGAACAATATCCTGAACACAACTGCTAACGACACAACGCCTTACAATTGGAGGCCCACAGTGGACGGTGATTTCGTGGCGCGATATCCCAGCGAGCAACTCGATAGAGGAGATTTCGTCAAGGTACCTATTATAATCGGATACACTACGGATGAAGGAACCACAGAGTGCCCGGAACCAGTGAACACCACTGCCGAATTGAAGAACTACCTCAGCTGTATGTACTTCTTTCCCTCATCCCTTTCTCCCCACTAAGAATCAACCCAGCAACAATAACCTACGGCTGGGCCCTCGACGAGCGCGTTGTATCCGAGCTACTCGAGCTCTACCCCAACACCACCGACTTCGGCATCCCATCATCCGAAGAACTCGGCGGCAATGTCACTTTCCCACAGCCCTACGGTGCTGCATTCCGCCAGACAGCAGCATACTACGGCGACGCTCAGTTCATAGCTGCGACCCGCTACACCTGTGAGCTATGGGCAGCACATAACCTAAGTGCATACTGCTACCGATTCAACACCAAGACAGACGATTACAACTGGGAAGAAGGCGTGGCACATTTCTCGGACTTGATTTTCATATTCAACAACCTTAATGGTTATGGTTTCAGTCCGAACCCCTTTATCAATGCTCCGGAGAGTTACACTGATCTTAGCTACCTCATGTCGGGCTCATGGATCAGCTTCGTCAATAGTCTGGATCCTAATGCGTGGACTGGACGTGGGCGGAACGCCACTCGGACGGAGAACTGGCCCGTGTACGATCTAGAGAATCCAATAAGTATGATCTGGGATGCGAATGTCACGTCGTATGCGGCGCCGGATACTTGGCGTAAAGAGGGCATCGCGCTGATTAATGCCAACCGGAGGGCATACCAGAGATGAACAGGGTGTGATATGGGAAGATAGTATGCTATTCGTTTGAAGCACGTTGCGTATCAGAAAAGAACAGAATTCATCAAACATCATTCATGAGTTTGTAACGGTTCTTCCAACTTTAGGTCTAGAGCTATAAGCCGATCTGAAATGAAAAAAGCAAGTAAAGAAGCGGAAGAAGAAATGTTCGGATTAAAATCGAAGCAATGCCAATGGTAGCTCGAGGTTGAGTCTCATACTGAGGGCTCACGCTATTTAACCCCAAAGATCAGTACAAGAGAAGACTTTTCGAACATAAGGCGATAACTCACATATCGGAATCTCTTCCAAATGAACCGAAACACTCGATATTTGCTGTTCGCATCCCACAAAATCAGTCTGATCTTCGGTGTATCTTCTAACATCATTGCGTGCCCCCTTAAGGCACACTGACATTCGATATCCACCATCACGGAGCGGGGTGAATGTGAAACTTTCGCACTCCTTCTGATAACCTTCAAGCGTCATCCATCCTTCGCTGGTGAAGCTCATCCATTTAGCAGTACTGAGATTCTTGATACCGAGACCATACTTTTTACTGAATGTGCATACCCACATCTGCCGCTCAGAGTGTTGCCAGGGCTGTAGCGAAATCCACTCATCGCCATCAGCGTTGAACACATATTGGATTCCAGGATTATTGAACCAGAATTTGTAGATTTTCTGTGCCTGAGGTATAACCGTCATCGTGAAGGAAATGTGCCCCAGCACTGAATGGGGCGATACCAAGCGAGGCTATGTTGTAGAGATGTTTATTAAGGATATGGAGAGAAGGATAAATGTGTACCGGGACGGTAGGACGTGATTTGGAACATATTTATCGGGTCTTCATGGTTATAATACTCTCAAATGTAAGACGGGGAAGGTAGACCAGAGGGATAGATCACTCAAAGAGAACACATGCAATGATACCCAAAGCCATTTTGGAAGGATTGTATTTCCTAATCTATTTTTACCTATGTTGTACAGACTATTGAACCAGGGTGATGATGAGGTAGCCATGAGGGTTATGGGATTGGTCGCGCTCCGGGAGTCTGCCTGTCTTACTTGGTCTCTCTCATGAGTAGTCTGATTCCCAAACAGCCGGCCCCGTGGTGGCATTACACCTCCTGAACAGGAAGAGCCTTGGCCAACTTATCAACAAACATGGGAAAAAATTAATTAGGAGATGGGTTGTGTACTTATAATGCTCGAGTCAGCCTACGTGAAATAACACATGAGATGGTTGAATACTTTACAGATTCGAGACGTTTGGAATGATAGTGATGATAATGATATATTGATGATATAAAGAGTGGTAATTCATTATTAGATGAACGAGGGTTGTCATCTCGACTGCTATCAGCGACTCGAAGGTTGGGTAATAATAATACTGCAAGCGAGCCCAGATTGGAAGATGTATTCATGCCAATAGAAGTGGCATTTTCCGATGATGTTACTTGGGAAGGTGATGAGGACATAGTATGTCGTTCATGTTAGTTACATCGGATGCAATTAAACCCAGAGAACTTTCGTTGTAGTGATAGGCACATATTAATGCCGCTTCCAAAATGATGTAGGCTCTACATACCTAAAAACTCACTAACCAGAGAACCTACCACATATCAGGTAGTTCCTCAACCGTACATATTGACCAAGTCTCACCGCAATTTTGAGAGAGACTAGAGTTACTCTTTTGAAAGTGAATAATAAATTTGTTTTGGTAAATTGATCGCTGCAAACCTCATATATCAGCCGTGGGAAAAGTGTACAGATCCGATCATTACACTTGGAATCTAGCGGCAGTTCACTCGTTTCCAGCAAGCCCAAGGTCCTTCATAATGATAGTAGCAGCCTTCTCACCAATAGCGTAAGCAGTGGTGGCCGCATTTGCGCCAATGTTCTGAGGAACGATACTCAGGTCCACGAGCTTCAGGCCCTCAATCCCATGAACATTAAGCTCGGGATCAACCACGCCGCCATCAGCAAGCGCGCCCATTTTGCAAGTACCTAGCGAGTGCCAGGTGGTGCCGACATTCTTGCGCACCCAGCCCTCAATGACCTTGTCGTCCTCCGCAGTGTACTGGATATCGGGGATGTTCTTGTCATTTGGCTTGTCCAGCCTGACAAGGGCGGCGGCGGAATCCTCAGCGAACGGCGGGTGCACGCCCGCAAACTCGCCGCGGTAAACATCCATTCTGCGCACGATCTCTCGCTGCTTCTTGTAGGCCCAAATGAGCTTCTTGACATCCAGGTCACTTTTCAAGAATCCAGTCTCAAACGATATATCTGCGTCGGGATCAGGGCTTGTAATGTGGACGTGGCCCCTGGCGTAGGGGTAGACAGTGAACAAAGACGTCGCGAGGTATTGGCCTGGTTCAACGGTGTGTGGCTCACCAGGGAAGCCGCCGAGCAATGCCATTAGCGCCATGGGTTTGTTGGGAGTGGAGAGATAATCTCTTGCGTATGCCGCCTCGAATTCAGGTCCAAGAGCAGCGACATCCGCTTCGGTGGGACGCAGCTTGCAGGAGGCATCTTGGGCATTCCACCCCATGATTGGCGCATTGGTTTTGATTAACTCTTCCATGTTGATTCTACCGGAAAGAGGGGCGTCAAACGTCTCGGTTGGCTCCAAGGCACTGTAGTATGCCTGAGTCAAGAGATGATGATCCTGGTAGTCCCGGCCGATTCCGGGGATATGGGCCACAGTAGGAACGCCAGCCTTGTTGAGAATTGCCTCGTCGCCGAGACCGGACCTCTCGAGAAGCAACGGGGTGCCTATAGCGCCACAGGAACTAATAACTAGCTTTCTGGCCTTGACGTGTCGAACATCGGTGTTGTTATCCTTCTGGAAGGCAGGGTTTGGCTTGAACTCAACACCCACAGCTCGTTTGCCCTCGAACAGAATCTTGATCACCTTCGTCTCAACAAGGACGTGGAGGTTTGGGTGTGCTCCATCTTCCAGCTTCGGATGCAAGTAGTTGCTGGCGGCATCCTGGCGGCGGCCCTCCTTGTCAACAAAGCGGAGGGCGCGTTGAACGCCGTTGCTAGTGTCGAGGTCTTGAAGATCCTTGACCGTCGGGTAGCCGACCTCGTTGGCGGCAGCAATGAATTGCTCTGCCGTACGCTCAGAGTAGAACGTCCCCTGAGACACAACAATAGGGCCATTCTTTCCATGAACAGAGTCAGACCCCGGACCATGATACGTCTCAAGCTACAATGAGTAATGGTGGGTTAGTGAACACTGTAGTCAAAAATGGCAATGCCGCAGGGTTCACAGAGTGCAGCTTTGTCGATTCGATAACATACCTTTTTTAAGAAGGGGATCATCTCATCTGTAGACCATCCGGGAGTGGCCCACGAATCCCAATCATGGCGTTGAGCACGACTGTACATCATCAAGTTGATTGATGACCCTCCGCCCAGAACACCACCTGCTGGGACGATCATTTCGCGGTTGTCCAACTGCGGCTCCGCATTTCCCTTGTAAAACAGGGTTGCGGTACTAGTTGGAAGCAGTGCAGTTGGAAAAAGGAGTGGGAACGCAATCAAGTGGTTGCCCTTGTTGTTCTGCCCGCCCTCAACCACGAGGATGGACAGTGAGGGATCGGCATCGGCGAGTCTGGAAGCAACGACACACCCCGCGGTACCGCCTTGGAGAGATCGTTAGTATAGAGTTTGAATTTGCAGATGAGTAGATGAACAAACCGCCGGCAATGATAATGTCGACCTCGTCGATGCTTTCGGGGAGCCGAGTGTAAATGCCCATATTGTTGAATGTGATCGTAGGGTGGAATGTGATGGTGACGGAACGAACTGGGCGCAGTGGATGGGATCACACTATGTTTAATAGCTCCGGGTCGGTTGCCCGACTAACAGCAACCCCACGGGATTTTTATGACGCGTGGATCCCTGTAAGTCTTTGGTGCCACCCACTTGAATTGTTGGACAAGGCTGACTGGGTTGTTACCCACTACTACCTGTGGCCAGCAACAGGCGGGCGTCTCAGATGTGGCTCTAGGTTTGCGGGGCTGGATATATAGCGCCCACAGCTAGTAATGACTAGGTTCGTCTGGGTAACATTACGCTCCGCCGTGTAAAATTGTCCCTAGTTTCACTGTACGTTTTTATGGGTGATGGATGCTACTCTCTAAAGCCTACTATGCCTCACATCTTACTATGTTGTGATTTCTATACCACAGATCCAGGTTATATACAAGAGCATATCGCCAATCAATACCATTTCGAATATAACAGTTGTATCATGCTAACAGTGATATGTGCACTGAACGTTTGTCAGCTTGGAGCAGATAGATAATTGCATTATTGCAGCGCGGCGAAATCCAATTTCTCAAGTTTGAGAGGAAGAGCAATAAGGAACCCAAGCGCTGCACCAAATATGTTCAGGTAAAACACGGAAGCTACACTCTGCGTAACTGCGTTCGTGACCTGAGCACGAACATGTTCGGACAACGTCGCGAGCAGGCTACTTCCTACTCCATCAATAGCGCCTCTGATTTCGCTAAGAGGAACATTTGGTAGAATGTGCGATATCTTCTCCGTAGCATGGTTGATAAGAACAGAGGTAGCGATGCCCAGTGACAAGGCTAGACCACCCATCTGCGCACAAGAGAAGAAAGCTGTAACGTCTTTCCTTGCCGCCTGCGGACGCTTCAACTGGCCCACAGTATAGCCAAGTTGAATGACTGGTCCGACACCAAAACCCTGCATAACGGTATATCCACAAATGGTAGCCCGAGAGGTATTCGTGTGAATGCTGGACAGCAGGCCGTTGCTAACAAGAAGCAGGACACTGGCCCAGATGAACCAGCACTTGTACCATGGGAACTTGGGCATCACTCCCCCGCTAATGCCCGCACTGACCACAATAGAGGCTACAAATGGCAGGGTATAGACTGCAGAGCGCATCGAAGAGTCATGCAGCACAAACTGGAAAAACAACGGAAGCGTGTAGATGGTGACAACGATGTCAGAAATTGCGACAATTGTCCAGATCCACAGGCCAACCACCAATGGATCCTTGAAGAACTGCACGGGGAAAATGCGATCCGATGTAAAAAGGTGGAATCTCTGCTGCAGAGCAAACATGATCCATATAATAGCAGTGGTAACGTAAAGTCCAATCATCTGGCCGCTATCCCAGCTGTACACGACGCCGCCAAACCCTAGAAGCATGACTGTCGACACAGCAGAGCCAAGGAATAGCACAGCACCCAGATGGTCAAACGCCCTGATCACGTCCATGGCTCCTAGAAACACGCTAGGTGGCGCCGAAGGCATAATCCAGATACATGCGGGCGCGGCAACGGCGGCAACACAGATATTAATATAAAAAGCCCATCTCCATGTTGCAGGCGAATCAGCAAACGCAGATCCTATAACGGGGCCAAGGATAGTTCCCAAGCTCCACGCCATGCCGACAATATTAAGATATTGGTTTTGTTCTTTGGCAGTCGTCATTCCAGTGATCATGCTAATGGTGCCGACATAGATGCCTGAGCCACCGGAGCCAGCCAAAGCGCGACCCGCGACGACAGCGCCAATGGACGACGCTGAGCCGATAACCGCAGATCCTACTTCGAAGATAAGCAGGGCAGCGAGAAAGACAAGCTTGCCGTCGAGGAACTTGTTGAGCTTCGCCCTGTGAACAAAAGTGTTGGTAGTCTGTCCCGCCTAATTACACTGCTGCTCACTTCTCTTACCAGATAGGGTTGGTTCCAACTTCACCCATGGGATACGCCACTGAAACCCACGGTAGCATATCTATGCGATTGCCAAATGTGTCGACAATGGCAGGCCGCACCGTTGCGGTCACGGTATTGTCGAAGGCGTACAGAAAAGTCGCCGACAGCAGCGCAACATTGACAACAAACCACGCAACGCCTGTGATCTTGCGCTCGGTCACAGCACCCGTAGACGCAGACGGGCCACTAGCTGTGGGATTCTGTAGGGGCTTTTCAACATAGTCACTTATCGACGAAGCAACTGTCTGTCTCGGCGGCATGATGCAGGTACACTTCTGGCCAACTGGTCCGTCTGTAGTCGCATCCCAAGAATTTAAGCCTGGGAAGGAGAGTGGGCTGGACTTGAGCAGCCCTGCTAACCAGCCTGCGAGGAGAACAAAAAATTCTCTAGTGTAAAAATAGATCAGTACATAATGTAACGGAGTAACAAACTAACAAAATAGTGGGCAGCGCTCGTTATCTCCATCATCATAGCCTTGTTACGCCACCTCCGTCCGCAGACGGGAGCGCAGGGAATCGAAAGTTCTCTTGTGTAAGTGTAGATCATAACATATAAGGCATGGACAACAACTACTAAAGTAGCTAACTAACAAGTTACTGGACTGCGCTCTTTATCACATCCTTGTTGAGCCCCACCCCCTTGCGCTAGTCGAGCTGCCGGCGCATCGCAATCAACTGATTGCGGGGATCCTCTGTATTTCCACTTGGTGACAGTTTTCTTGTACTTGTGGAAAAACACTCACTCTTAGGGGCTGAATGGCCAATGTTCCAGTACTCAATGTGCGCATCCTGGTTATGGGTAAGAATATGTCATTGTAGTCTTATTAAAACAAAGGGATGTGTTCTGTAGTTACAGCGCACAGATCACCGAGCACACCCGGTTGTTCTGGCCACAGCCTAACTATAACCCGTTACGGTTAGTGCTTACTGACCACGATTCAACTTAGTATAACCTCATCAATTGCGGTTCTTTGTCTCCCAGTTGGCGTCCATGCCGAATTAGGTAGGTGATGTACAGGCGGACCGATAATGATGATCTTTACCTTGAATGGCGCACTCGGAGTCCAACGTCGCCGAGGTCAACGGAGGGCGGACGCGAGATGAAAGGACTCAGACAGGACAGCGGGCCACATCCCCAACGGAAGAAAAGGCACTAACATGGGTAGTAGTGGCTCGGTTCACACACAGCCGTTTGCCTTGGGGGTAATTAGCCTAGACACCTCGCTAAAATCGGGCAGCATTGCGCGGCCGCAAGAATTGAACAGCCTGGTCCAATATTGTGATAATCCCCTCCTGCTCGGGATTACACGATATCGGAGTGGTGAAATAGGTCGACAATGCACTAAAAAGACCGATCGGAATATATGAATATGAAAGGCAAAAAATTACCCGAGAAGTATACATGGATTATTCTTGTCCGAATCCCGAATCTCCAATTGTGAAAGTCGTCGCCAGTTAAGCGGATCTATGCTTAACGTTAACCAAGCATGAGCTCGTTGGTCATCATGTCAAAGTCCTGTTCGCGAGCAGCCAATGCCCATAAAAATATTCCAAGTTCTGGTCAAATACTCAGCCCGCTTAACTGGAGATACTGTATACTTTTGATGTTCTCTTTCCCGTGGCTTCCTTTCCATGTGCTACTCCCCACGCCTTGTTGAATCTTTAAGCCTCCATTAGGGGATTTGAATAAAGCCCCACTCCTTCATGGAGATTCCAGAGCATATGTTCGAGCAAGGTAAATGATAGATACATTGTGACTAGGAGAGGGCCTTACACCCAGATGTATCTTTAATAAGTTTCTATAATCAGGTTAATGCTAAAGAAGTACAATAGATATTGTACTTGCCTTCAAGTTTCTTAAAGAATGCACAGGGGGTCAAGAAGGGGTAATGAATCTGCTTCGGTCGTCGCTTGGATGTCATACTCCTGCGATCGTTTACTTTGGGTTAAGATTAAGCTGCCGCCTTTGGACTTAAACCATGCTGTCACTTTCATTCCCTTCATGAAGGGTAGGGGATGAGTTCGATCGCGCCTGCTTAATATTTGAACTAAACAACATGATGTTTGCTGGAAGTTGTTGAAACAGTGAAGCTCTATCCAGGACGCCCTAGCTTAGCAGCAAGCCTGAATAAACTTATAGAAGCAACTTCAATGGTGGAATCCAGTACACTGAGAGAGGAACGCGACAATGCTGCGATGGGAGTAAAGTAAATTCCCAGGATTACAAACTAGACCCATCGAGTTGTAAGGTACAAGAACAACCAATAAAAGGAAATTGATGCAAGAATCGGATGAAGTTCCAAGTCCCATTTTCAGCTTCTCACCATTTGCTTCGACACTTTTCAATATCCGTAGCACCACTTCATCCCTTCCTCGAAGCAACGAAATGTTTCGTCGCCACATGGCGTCATTGACAGGTTTCCTGCGCCATGAAATAGACAAGTGGTCTAGGAGAAGGCGGCTTCGGCAGAGTTAAAAATACTATCGATATCAGACTTGGCTGAGGTAGCTTGGTTGTTGACAGAAACGGGTACGTTCGTTATCAATGCATCAGCGAAATTGTCGAAGGCCGTGTGGAGAGTGTGGAGATCGTTGAGTACTAGATCTGCTCCACCTGGAACACTTGACCAAGCAGTTGCTTGATCTTCAAGCGTACTTAATACGCCCCAAAGGCTTGCGATTACCACTTTTCTGACGTCCTGAAGAATAGCGAGTCCAGCTTGTTCATCCCGGGAGCCGGCGCTGTTGATATCGGTAGTTGCATGATTCACCGAAGAAACAAGATTCTGGAAATCGTTGTCGATAGCCACAGCCCCGGCTGAACCACTAGAGGGGAAAGCATCAACGTCATTGTAAAGAGTTTCAAACCCCGGGGCAATTATCTGGTTTATATCGGCTTCGACTTTGCTTGCGTCGCGGCGAAGGATAGGGGTAGCGGCAGCAGTTAAAGCCAGAGTGAGAAGTTTGGCGATAAGTACCATCTTTTTTATTGAAAGTTGATGAAGTATAATAGTGCTAAGGTTGTGACAGCCAGGAATATGGAAGTATAGTTTCCGAGGACATTATTGAGGGCTACCTGGGCTCTATATATAATGCGATGGGTGAGTGAATTGTGTAATACCGGTATGTGAGGCACATAAGTAAGGATCACGCATACATAGCACAGCGACCGCCATTCTGCACATTCAACTTCATCTTTGTTTGGTAACTATACCATTCCACGTATGAAGTGTCCATATGCTTACTGGATAAACACTGAGTTTGAAGAGGAAGAAAAATGCTTTACATTCTCCAGTCTCTGAGAGACATGCTAGGCCTGAGAATTATGTAAGCAAGGGGTTGCATGTATGTCGAACCAGAGAAATGATACAACATGCCACTGGCAGTAGTGGAACAGCTTGAATATACATAGAGTGGGTCAACCGGCCACACTCATGCCTTAGTCCACATTCTTTGAGGTGTATGTGTCCTCAGATCACCAGGTTATGCATATTTGAAGCTCCTACCAGTATGAAATTCGGTTCAGCTGATGATGATTATCAGAACAACAACCTCATAAAGATGAACTGTCTCATTAGATCACGTGCGTGGCAAATCCAGATATTTAATAAAGCTGGAAATATGTTGATAAAGGTATTAAGGCTAGAAACTTGTACAAGATTCCCTATGTTCTGGAAATATAACAATACTTTGATAGCTTGAACATAAGAGCTCGGCAGAGGTAGGTTGGTCTGTCAGCGGCAATAATGTAATCTACAGTGTAATGAGCGCACATACGGAACCGATTGGCTCTTTTGGAACCCCATGCTGGCTGTGTCGGATAATATCTCCGTAGATTCGGGCTGCTCCTTCAACAAACCAATAGAGAGAGGGCTTGCTGCAAAGAGTACCTCTTCAGTTGCATCCAGCTCAGCCTTGCCGTTCTCCAGAATAATAATATGGGGTAACCCTTTGTTGTTAGGAATTAACTTATCATGGGCGAAGAATACGATGACGTCCCCATTCGCAGGATCTGGTGTCATCCACTCATCGCCTGATCAACAACTGCATGATGGAAATATAGTAGCTATATTGGGCTTACATGTACCAGTTAGATTGAAGCACTCGTCCGAAGCTGCTCCTACCCACTGACCGTAAATATATTGCTCACCGACCAACGGGACCATTGAAGTAGGAGTCAACAGAACATAGCTCTGGGTTCATGCAATAGAATCCGGCATACGTTCAAAGGCATAAAGCAAGTGGAGGTGGTCTGAGTGACTATATTAATGATTTATGACCCCATTGTGTCGCCCAAGGACGCCATGTGTACGCAGAAGTACATGTTACTGCGGAAGTGGGGTTCCCCAATCTGTCATTTCGGAAGGCGAACCCAAATAATGTCCCAACCCTAATTATATCCCGGCATTGCTTACTATTCTTCATAACTGGGCTTACCGTGAACGAAGTGGCATGCGATATTGAATTGAGTCGCAGGCGCTCCATATCGATGAACACGTCCTTAAACCCAGCCATGCATGCTTAGAGAGCGGACTCTTTCCCGTCCCACAGCATGAAGGGTATACAAACGCCACAATAGCCGTGGCCTGAGATCCGAAAGCGCTTCTTTGCTTGATGTTGGTGAATAAATACCTTCGTCGATTGTTACAGATTTGTCGCAAGACTTCAGCGGGCTTGATATAGCCGAGATTATTCGACCGGCATTCCCGGTCGTCCGAAGCTTCGTGGTCTTGCTCTTTTCGGCGATGAAAATCTAGCTGATTAGATTTAGCGGGCAGCCAAACCTGCTTCGATCCATGGTAACTATCCGAGCGAGCAGAATACAGTTACTTATGACACTCTGATTGGCGGCTTGCTGCTCCGATGGCTGGGCCCGATGGACCGCCGGCAGTTGTCAAACATTTCAGACAGCTCAAATGCCTCCAATAAGTACCAGTAGCAGCTAGTTCTGACTACACTCTTGTCTAATCGCTCTGAAGGACTCACCATAACGGCTATTCTCTCTCTGTGCCCACACAATGAAGAAGATGAGCATCAGTGATAGTATTCTGATCTTCAGACAGTCGCCACCCGTGAGCCTAAACGGACTTTGCTCGCTCTCAGAGAAGACAAGTGGAAGACTAATCACCTGCTCTCAGATGGCCTAGACACCTTAACTCCATGGGCACAGGCGGGGATGTCCGGGGCGATCGCCTGGAGTGGAAAGCCAGAAGCTTGGTTCCAGCTCAAGTCGCACCAATGAATGGCAGCGCAGTGGAAGCGCCAATGAGTGGTTCTGCTGCCGGCTGCGTTTCCGCCACTCACAGTGACTTTTCTTCCGCCACGCGATAAAGACCAACAAAAGAAGATATCTCCGTTCTCTCCCTTCTTCTGCCTTTCATGTCTGTTCAAACGAGCCGCGATGTTTCTCGACGGCCAAGTGGCCGCTCTCTCCCTCGATGAGAAGCTCGCGACATCACGCAGTGTACCTCTGCCCGACGATGACTCTCCAGTGGTGTCTCCTTCGCTCGCATGCATCTATCGCCATACCCCGACGCCGACCATCGTCCTCGATTCATCCATGACCATTGTCGAGGTCTCTGATAGTCATCTCGCTTTATCCGGCAAGACGCGCCAATCTATGCTGCATGCGACCGTTCGTGACCTCGACCCAGCTGCCGTACCCGCTCCTAACATCGCTATCCTTTGTGGCGCACTGCGTGCAGCTTGCTCAACGAAGGAAACCCAGATAGTGGAGAGAATCGTGTCCAGCGACAAATTTTTATACAACCTCCGAGTTACTCCCATCTTTGACGCATTCACTCTGCTGTACATTGTATTGGAGGCGCACAAGCTTTCCGAGGAGACCGCCAGCATTAACCATGCCTATACAAACGAAACTTACAAAATCCTCGTGGATACCGTCAAAGAGTACGCCATTTTCATGCTCGATACACAGGGCAATATCTCCACCTGGAATCCCGGCGCTGCAATCATGAAGGGATGGCCTGCAGAGGAGATCCTGGGCAGACATTTTTCTGTTTTTTACAGCCCGGAGGATCGCCTGGCTGGAAAGCCCCTCCGAGGTCTTGCTGTGTGCTTGCGCGAAGGCCGTATGGAAGATGAGGGGTGGAGGTATCGGCGCGATGGCTCGCGATTCTGGGCCAATGTGCTTATTACTCCCATCTACCAGTTCGGGCAGCACGTTGGTTTCGTTAAAGTCACCCGGGACCTTAGTGAGCGCAAAGAAGCCGAGGCCCGCATAATTGCTGCTTTCGAAGAGTCGTCACGCTTAAAGACCGACTTTCTCGCCAATATTAGCCACGAAATCCGGACTCCGATGAACGGGATGAAAATTGCCATGACAATGCTGGCTGACACGAGTCTGTCACCGACACAGCTCGAGCATGCTGCCATCATCCAAGACTGCATGTCTCTCTTGCTTGAGACTGTGAACGATGTGCTTGACTACTCAAAACTCTCATCTGGCTCTTTCTCCTTACATTCCGATGTCGTTGATGTCAGCGATGTGGTCGGAGCCGTTATACGGAATTGTCGCCCATCTTTGAAGAACGGTGTCGCACTGACCACGGACATTGCACCTGACTTTCCCCGAAATCTTCGAGGAGATCCCCTACGATATCGCCAGATCCTGCAGAACTTGGTCGGCAATGCAGTCAAGTTTACCGAGAGCGGCCATATCCGGGTCTCCACAGCGTGCTCTCCGGACGAACAAGAGGAGGGATGTTGCATCGTGCGTACAGAGGTCGTCGACACCGGCATCGGTGTTCCTGATAACGCAATGAATACCCTCTTTACCCCATTTACCCGCTTTGCCAACTCGACCACTCGACAATACCAGGGAACTGGATTGGGCCTGTCGATTTGCAAAAGTCTGGCGGAACTCATGGACGGAAAAGTGGGATATTCTCCTAACCCGGATGGCCAAGGCAGTGTCTTCTGGTTCACTGCCAAATTAGGAGACCGATCTAGTACTTCGTCACTCAAGCCCCGCAGTCCTGCATTAACACCCGTGGGCCACGATCTCTGCGACAAAATGCGAGCCATTGCGCCCCACAAACATGTCTTATTGGTTGAGGACAACATGGTCAACCATACCATGATGTTGAAACTCCTTCGCAGCATCGGCTTCACGCGAGTGGACGGGGCTTGGAATGGCGCCGAGGCACTCTCCAAGATCAAGAAGAAGCCGCTATCCTACAACGTTATTTTGATGGATGTCTCCATGCCCATCATGGATGGCCTTGTCGCGACAGGACATATCCGCGATATGGGGCTCCAAATGCCGATTATTGCAGTCACAGGGAATGCTATGCAAGGCGACGCCGAAAGCTACATTGCAAAGGGCATGAGCGATTGCATCGGCAAGCCGGTTCACCGAGATCAACTACTGAGTGTTCTGTGGAAGTGGATTGGATCATGATAAGAGATACGGGTGTGTACTTGTCTGTTATTTGCATAAGCGCAGCGCAGAGTACGGCGTACTGGGCATATAAACAATCGGTCTGACGATTTTAAATATATTGCTTTTCTCACTGCTCTGGTTTGGGGTTTTCTTTTCATCTTCCCTTGTGTTTTGTCCTTTTTCTTTCCTGCTTTGTTCACTTAGCCTTTCAACTTCTTGTAACCTTACACTTACTGTTCCAATATATGATAACATGATTATTTTGAAGCAAGAAAATCTTAAGACCCCTCTTTTGGCATCTGACCATCTAAGAAGGATACCTCCAGTACTATCTGTGATTCTACAAAGCCTACGTACTATAGTTGTCATTTCTCTCTTCTGTGTTCTGCGTCCCGAAACAATTATGCTTCTTAATAGGAACACCTTTGACAATGTTTCTGGTCTTCTAAATACACCTGCTTCGTTTTGGTGCGAAATCCAAGCATATTGCATATTCCGCACGTAGTACGATTTCATCTAGTCAGACATCGTCTATTCTGCCACGGCTAGTAGTGTATCTATATCAAAGTCTCTTAACTATAGCAGCAACATCCCGTCTATACCGATACCACACAAAGTCCTAAACCGGATCAAAAACCACAAATAATATATCTATCCCCATTTACACATCAACACAATCCCAATAATCCTCATGTGTGGACACCCCAGTCTGCGTCCAATTCGCCTGTCTCGGGTACCTAACCAACAACCCCCATTAGCTCCCTATTCCATCCTCGGAGGTAAGACAATGACTTACGGGCAAATCTTCCGATTATGAAGCAGCGTCGTCGGATCCGCATTATCCTCAAAATTCGTGGTAACCATATACGACGGCCCATGACCATCCTCTACCCAGCTAATAAGCGTGAGGAGAGAGTCATGGACGTAGTTGTCGACGACGTTGGCGGGGGTGAAGTTGAAAAAGTTCCCGGCTTGGTATGGGCCCGCTAGGTACCATAGGGCGGACATGCAGGTGGGGGTGCCGGTGCAGTGTCTATCTTTGGTTAGTCATATACCTTCGGGGGGTCTTTTTGTGGGATGTTGGGGTTGAGAGGTGAGGGAAGGGGACTCACTTTAATCCCGGAATCAAGTAAAGCTGATAATGTTGGTCAATGTCGATGCCCTTCTCTAAGGCAGCGTACGTGGCTTTGTGGTGATAGTACACGCTGGAACCAGGTGAGACGACCGAGTCCGACATGCCGTGCCAGTGGAAGAATTTCCCGCCTCGGTTAAAGAAAGGAGACAGGTCGAAGTCGTCTGCGTTTGCGTGGGCGGGATTACGCGCGTCTGCCTCGGAGATGAGTTCGTATGCCAGGTCCTGGGCTGTGAGGTTTTTGAAGCCGAGGACGTTTTCGATGTACCATGATTTGGAGTGCTGGTTGCCGAAGGTAGTGTTCCAGGTGGGTTCGCTGCCGAACCATGCGCCGGGGTAGATGAGGTCTTGGTCGAAGGTGGTCCAGTCGTTGTAGATCTTGTGGAGGGTATCTAGTTGTGGTGCAGTAAGGCAATTGGATGTCTTGTTACTGCTGCAGGCTAGGGCTTCGGGGTGGAAGAAGCAGCCTTGTGGGTTTGAGATGATGGAGTCCGTGAGCCTTGTCTTGGGGATCGCATTGGCGGAGGACCTCGTCCGTGATGACTGGGTATAATTTGGGTGGGATTGAGGAGTTCGAATGGGCTAGACCGCCGATAGTTGTCTGCTTGTAGTTGTAGAATGCCTGGTGTGTCATCCACCAGGTTGGGGCACCCGCCATAGCACCATCATAGTCTTCTGGGTATGTCTGGATGGACTTCATGACATGTCGACCTCCGTCGGAGCATCCGGTTATGTAGCTGTATTTGGGTTCCACGTCGTACCAGGCTTTGTAATTGCCTAGCGGTAAGGGTGGATAGGTGCAGTGCTCTGTGGCTCCAGTCAATGAGACCATTGGGAGTCTCCCAGCCTGAAACGTGGTCTGGCTCGTCGTGGCCGGAATTAGAGGCGAATGTGGCGAAGGCGTAGCGCAGACCTGCACTTGCTACGCCCCAGGAAATTCCGGAGTCGGGGGCTGCCATCCTGGAGGTCTTTAGTCAGGAGCAGCTTGTGAGTGTGCAATTCCGTACATACATGATACTGCCATTGAAGTGGGTAGGAAGAAGTGCTCCCAAGCCCCAAGACACGCCCTGTTCATTGGTTCCGTTGACTCGGAACGCACATACAGATGGAATATCGGTGGTAAACGTCGAAGCGCCAACATAGTCAGTGAACTCATCCAGAGTTTCATTGCTGTCAACGTAAAAAGCGTACGGAACACTCAATGTCGTTCCATTGAGCCCTGGAAGCTTGTTTACAAAGGCCTGCAGCCCACTAGTGGTGCAATTGGGCGCATTGACTGCCGCGTAGGTGGTGGCGTTCTCATAGGCGCAAATATCACCTGCGGGCAAGCTGCATTTAGATTGCGCACTGGCAACGGCTAGAAGTGATGCCCATGTCGCAAGAGCTAGTGAGAGACCCATGTTGGGGAATATGGATGATCAGCAATAGTTATGTCTATCCTATTAGCCATGGTGATGGGAAGCACATTTATAGCTGACTTCGTTTCCGGACTTCGTCAAGTCGTCTCGGGAGCCCGTCGGGTCTGCCCTGCTCCGAGAGGTATTTCGAAGCCTCATACATAGTGAGCTGTCCGATCGTCTTGCAATGACGCGTGAGACGTTTCGTAAATCCGTCATTTCCCCTGCAGATCCGAAGCTTAGCACCCACCTCCAGACGAGCCTGTCACAGCTCTATTGAGTAGCTTTCAATACTCACGCCATCTTACAGAGATCGCGAGAGGAAATCTGATGTGACAAGTTCCTTGAGACTTGGCAATGAAATATCGTCTTGGCAGGCTATTCTTTGGGCATAATTCATGGTCCCTTACTCGCCAGGGTAGTTAATTGCCGGTGCAGAACAGGTGGGGGATAATTGGACATTCCCCACCCGAGGATCGACGAGATGGATCTTCGCGATTCTCAACGAACCCGCCCCACGGACCAACGCGTCGTGTCCACTTGAACCGAGTAAAACTTGCGGAGATTAAACCTCATTGAGCGTAGGCAACATATCTTGTTCAAATCAAGCCTGCGCTGTGAAGCTTGGCCTTTCCATTACCCACCGTCCCTATCATATCAAGGACGGGTTATCAGTAAGTTGAAGGAGCCCTGCCACTAGATAGCAACCGGGGTTCTCTGATCAGGTATCTCTGGTAGACAATGGACCCCTTAGGTTTACCCCTAACACTGGGCAAGGACTTCAGAGGGTCATGGACTCTGCCCTATTGTGCAGAGACGTTGCGAAACATAACTCAAAGACAATGAATGACGTGTGCCACCACTCTATATTGCTTTGGATGGCGTTCACTGCTTAGGCACACACTGTAGCTGGAAGCAAAGCAGGGAAAAAGGAAGTAAAAGGATATAGTAAAAGTAGAGTGACAAGCATCCAGGCCAGGCCAGGTTAATTGAGGGATTCTAAATCTGCTGCTACATTGATAATCAGATTAAGAAAGATTCTAATTCTAGGCTTAATATAGATAGATAGGGAATATCAATCATATTCATCATTCTTATGAATAATACGTGTCTGCTATACTAATTTAGGTCTTAAATATTTACTTCATCTATTCCGGAACAGATAATATTAGCCGCCCGAGGATTACCATAATCCCAAAGCAAGATTAGTCCACGGTTATGCATCTCTTTTGTTACTAGTTTATGACTTCCAAGCCCGGATCTGCGAAGCAAAAAACTGTTCTATAGATATCATAATTCACTTAATCAGATCAGAATAACCTGGAGATTGAGTTATATTCTAAGCCTTGACTCTATTGCTGATGATAATATCCTTATTACTACATCATGCTGTACATGTGGTCCTGAAGATAATATAGGCTAGATACTTAATAATAGTAGTATTTACCTCACCGCATTTAGCTTTATAACAGAATTCGGAAAGAGGATCAGCAAACCTCTCAAGTCGAAAATGATGAAAAAGACTACTTCTATCGTAAGGTTCCCAGACACAAAATTGCAAAGACTCCGACAGTCATGTCTGTATAGAAGACCCAATAAGCCATCAACGATCCACCGAGGCTTCGTAAAGACATATTTGTCACTACCCCCCAAGCTTGGGAAGTGACCTCAACATTTCATGCGGGACTGGGAAGACAAATCCTGACATGTTGAGCTAAGATCTCCACCGAGTGCCAGTTCATAGGTATAGTTACCTCTCACACACTGTCATCTTACCTATTAAACATCGTTAAGAGAAGAATACCGGTCGCAATAAGGTGCTCGATGTACTTAAATCAATTGTGCCTGCGCGCTATTTACTTTCTGCGATAGCTTAGATGATATCTTAGTATAAAAGGAACCAATAGGCTTTCTCACCGGCTATGTAATAGGGTTTTTGGAGGAACCAGCTGGCGAGGTTGGAAGATCCAGTGGGGTCGATGGCCGCGAGTACGTCTCCGAGGTAAGGTGTTCAAGGATGTAGGTAACTGAAGAGTTTTCGTTCCCAACAATTATATTACTGGCGTGCTGACCCAGGGTGAGCACTGATAGCTCTGAACCCCGGTGCATACCGATTTAGCCCCTCCCAGCCAAGGGTAGTAGGGCCACAAGCGATAACTGCAGCCCCGACAAGTAAGACTTAGGAGAAGGCTCTATCTTGTTATTCAAAAGACTACTGACAGTCTGTCCAGGAACGGCCAAACCAAGATTGTTCTGTCGATCTGCCCCCATCACAGTTCTCTAGGCCACCAGTCTCTCTAGGAGATTGTCCTCCGCTGTAGGATAAGGATGGACCATATGAGACATAGGCAAGTAACGGGTCAACTTCGGCTGTCACTTCAGCTCTCACCCTGATCCTTGTTCGGGAACCGTTCCCTGTCCCGATATTTCCCTCTCCCTTGCCTTCAAAACCTCCAGCCCCCGGTTTCCGCTTTTTTTATTTTTATTTTATTTTATTTTTTTTTTTTTTGCCCCTGTCTCCCTGTTCAATGTGCCGTGCGATCCGGTCATCGCTCTTTCCTGGCAGAGCGCCTACCCTGTGACCCCCCTGCCCAGCTAGTCGCACGTCTCGATTGCAACATAGCCATTACTAGGCTGCGGGCCATTCCCTTGCCCCACTTGTGTAACAGACTGGTCTACATGGTTTCTCCCTGCCTGTATGTAGAGAAAATGTAGCGTCCTGTCCAAGTATCCTATCACAATATGACCCACATGTAACACTTCCCCACCGAGTTTCACCCTCTTGCTATACAGTTCCGGTAGCATAGGCTTGTATTGAGTACGATGAGACTTTTCACATTAGGTAGTCTACAAAATAGATCATGCTTTCTTAGTATGCTTGCTGTGTCGGGTCATTAGAATCTCTGAAAGAAAGAATGCATCACATCTAACAGATAATGAAGTTCCACCAGAGGCAGTGACTTTTGATTCGAGATGATCAAAATCGCGGGGCTGTTTATAATGTTCCTTCAAAAAAATAGAAAAGTTTTCAATGCCTTTCAGGCTTCCCTTGAAAATTTGGGATTTATAAAAGTTTTTGCCCCATATTTATCTCCAGCAAATTGTAGCAATCGTGCGAGCGCAAGTCATTTAGCACGCGTTAAGTTATAGTGGCGCGGCAGTGAATGTAACTATACAGGTCATCTCTAACCTCGGAGTTCGTCTACGTTCCATAATCACCGACAAATAGAATGAATGGATTAATTTCGAAGCAATCACATTTCCTCATAAGATATATGTCCACTTGTTTTGACCAAGATGTAGTATGGTTGAGAGGTGGTGATACTTCCTCTTACAACATAGAATAGACTGTCAAATGTACCATAGCAGCAATCACAAGCAAACATAAACACATCTTCCCGTACAATTCCAGACAATAAAGCAACCTTCCCGTCCCGATCATCTGCGCCGCTTCCCATATCTGCAGGGGTCCTTGCTTGACTGCTGAAAAGATCTCTCCTACCCGTACACCTTGCTGCTGCTGTCGCGATGGCCTATAGATAATCGTCTCGCAGATGGGTGGCAGGAGACTGGCCTGCACCAGAATTAACGCCATATAAGAGGGAAGGAGGAGAAACAACTGGGCAAAGAGCATAAGTGCCGATATCAGGATGTCGGATCTCACGATATACGGCAATCCCTCTATTGTGACGTTCTCGCTCGACGCCGGAGCGAGACGACTATTGAGTAGCCCCGGGAAATGCACCATCACTGCCTCGGCCGTGGAATAAATTAATGTGGGAAGCACAAGAGCTCTCCATCGGCGGAGATCGTGGGGGCTAGGCACGAAGCGCAGCTGGTCGCGCTGAAGGATGGTTTTCGCGGTCCAGAAGAAACGGGTCTCCGCGAGCAGGACCGATGCAACAACATACGCTACCTGACTAGGAAGCAGAATAGTCGATAGGTTAGTCACCAATGAGTGCATCACCCAGTAGGTGCAAGCGGAATAGATGCCATTGAGGAGAAGAGAGAAACCTCCTCTGCGGTAAAGGGCGGCACTAGTTTGCAACAAGTAACGACTTGATGGAGCTAGCTTCTTGTCTGCGACCTTAGACACATTGACCTGCTTCCCCACAGTTTCGAGGATTAAGATAGACATTAAGACATGGCCAATGATGTATCGGACCTATGCTCTGTTAGTTCTTGCGGACAATGATGATTCTCTGTTAGTGGCTTACTAGGATGTCAAGGACAATCCCAACTGAAATTGGTGCTAAAAGTAAACCCCTGTTGAATTGAGCAGGGCCCTTTTGGAAGGATTGATGAGTTCGTGCAAGTAGGGGATAATCTCCTGCGGAATAGATGATGGTATTGAGGAGTTTGCGAAAGATGATTAACAGAGACTGTGGGCTTGGAGTGTATGCCATAATGTATCTAGACAGTGAGCAGAGGCGGATTATTGAAGTTGATGTCTCTCCGTTCATGTGATGGAAGGAGAGTAGGCATTATATTTTGTCTGAAACCGAGAGATTTTATATGTTGCTCCATCTGTCCTATCACAAAAATCGCGCATCTCATGTTGAGAGCACTAACTTGGTGGAGGCTAATTTCGGACTACTACCAAGCTACTACCAAGCTACTGCCAAGCTACTGCCAAGCTACTGCCAAGCTAATGCCATGTCCACTTTTTCATTTTCAGGGTCTCAGTCGTGGGCACAGAGAATGGCGATCGGCGTAGTCCAGTGAACAGGTATATTGAAGGCCCTATCTACACTATAACTGACTCAGAATATAAAATCCTGAATCCCTATGAAGCATTTCACAATTGCCAATAGACCCAGTTCAAGGGAGGAGCTTTTTAGGTGGTAAGCCCATTCCTTTCAGACCCTGGTCGGATTCTGGAAAGGCTGCGAGACATGCTTCTACTAAGCTATGTTAGTGGCCCCACCCAATGTAACCACTACTAAATACATGATGTCCTAATTGTCTTCTGCCAGATTAGTCCGGACTAGAGACTGTTTTGCTGTTGCCTCAAACTAGGTCGTTCGTATGTCACGCTCTTATGATACTAACCCCTTAGTGGTCTCCACGGAAGCACCGTCATCCATACTAACTTCATGGTTGCTAGTCAAAAACGAGCTTTTTTCGAAATTAAAGCAAGACTAGGATAGGTAGTACCGGTCTGTGAACATCAGGCAAGCACTCATTCATGCTCAAGTACGAGGATCTTGTGCAGTCCGGGGCCTTATAAATAGAGGTAATTCACCCGCTGGATAGATCGAAAACAAGGACAGCAAGCTATTGTTCGATAATCTCCCGGCTCCGATCTTAATAAGCCTTCTCTTTCTCTGCCTTTTCCGTCTCTTAATCTCCTTCAATAACAATGAGAACTTTTTCGATATGTCTTCTAGCTGGGATGCTACTCGGACGAACCACCCAAGGCCAGCAGCTAAGCTATAGCGACAGCATCCAAGCATTAGCCTTCGGGAATATCGCTACTTCCTCCGTGGAATCCAGGGGCGATGTCTGGCTTAACATCACTGGATTCGCGGGGATAGAACTCCCGCACATCGAGACAGTGGTGGGAATCCACTCCTTGGATAACGCCCGCGAGCTAAATGTGATCGCGAATCTGGCGCAAAGCGCCGCGAGTCAGGCACTCTGGGGCGATGTCGTGTTTCTGTATAACGTCTTCTCGATGAACGCCTATCCTTCAAACGCCAATGTCACAAACGCGCAGATGCAGGCCGGTCTGCTGGACGCTGTGAGCGGCGATAATGGGCCAGAAGAGAGTTTGATCGAGCTCTACGCCAGCACATCGAGCGCCTCGAGTCTAGGAGCGGCGTACCGCGCACTTACCTCCCAAAACAACAACCAGCAACAGAGCACGGCTACCATTTCGTCTCCGGTAGCAGCAGAACCCACATTTACGCCCACTGCCGCCGTTGATAAGCGCGAGATGGACTGGTCCCGCAACCAGATCGTCTGCAGCGCCGCGCACGTTGCTGCGGGTGCCGCTTGTATTGCATTGCTTGGACGGGTTCGGGTTGATGGGAGCTGGAAGACCGGCGGCCCACGCAATATCTGCTACAAGGACTGCTGTATCAGCTGGAGTGCCAATGCCACCTTCCAGATAGAGAACCTCTATAATGATGCCCAACGCTGTTATAATGCCTGCTTGACCGTGACCGGGGAGGTAAGCTGCGAGGCTTACAATGGTAGTCTGCAGGGAACCCTTGTCAACCAGTGCTTGAGTAACCGGCCGAATGGATGCGCTTAGATTGGTGCGAGAGCCGTGGGGTTTTATTTGAAAAAGCGAAGTAAGGAGAGGGTCACGCCAGAGTGGTAGATATGCAGTGGAAGGTAGAGCTTATGACAGCTTGGAAGGCTCAGGAGACTGGGGTGTTGGCCTGACATAGCAGACATGAGATAGCGTTCGCGATGGATCAGGGACGGGTGGATGCCGGAGGAAATATGTCACTACTGTATCTTTTCTAGATTCTTTAACTATACATACAGCACGAATTTAGATAGGGGCTTGGTGGAAATAGCGAGGTATTGTGATTTTTTTGGTGTAATCGTACTGTGTATTTCGCTGGGTTCGACGTAATATTGTCTAATCGGTCCGCGCGGAAGCATCTCCAACTTTCGGCATCTTTGATCCTCAATCTTGCTGAAATGTTATGATATCCTCTCGAAATATATCTGATGTCATGCTCAATCCCAGTCGTTAATCTTCACCATAGCATTAATGAGGCGCCTTTATGCCTTCGATTTTTCTAGCAAACTGTACATTAGGGCAGTTCTCTGGGTCAAAGAGACACTCTCGCAATTGGTGGCTAGCATTCCTTGTCAAAGAGAAAGAAAAATGAAAAAAAAAAAAAAAAAATCATCTCCCAGCAGATCATTAAGGGGGGGGCCGTCCTTACATGATTCGCTAAGTTTCACGATAACAACTCAATACTTAGCCCCTCAATCTAATGCGACCCTGACTACTCAATAACTGCTATGTGCCAACGCCCTGAATGCAGGGCTGAGAAAAAGACTCCAGTTTGTACTTTTCAGGAAGACCTTGAGAGACACTCTACGCCCACGGTTTGTTCATTCATTACTCTCTCGAACAAAGGTTTGAAGGAGGGGGTCAACTATCATGCATATCACAACAATGCCATGCTGTTTAGGCTGTCGTGGCCCAACGATCACACGTATACACAGTAAACCATCTGCTCCAAATAGTCACATGTTCTTTTCTAGGATGTCTGCTTGTGGAATCAGCTACTCGGTTGGGTGCCTGATGATGTGTGAGGCGGAGGGAGACGATGTCTCACTTGACGGAGCTTTGCGCCAATGAAACTACCGGAATCGCAGGCAACCCGGCGGGATGGCCCACATGAAACTGGGCTGAGACCCCAGGCGGTTAGCAGTGGGTGCAGTGTCAGCATGCAAAAGCCTTCAGGATTTAATACGGCTTCTGTCAGTTTCGCTGTTGGCATTTTAACTTGGTACTATCCGAACGCTGGCGCTGGATGGCTTTGAATTTTGCTCCCACAGTAGGAAAGTAGAAATAAGTTGAGAATGAGAAGCAGGAACATGAAATAAAGGGTACATATCCGGAGTTTGACAGCTCGCATGAAGGAATTCTCCTAACTCTGGACTCCTCTAATACGTATTCAGTGTATTCCTTGCGTGGCAGAGGATGTGGACTTTCCGGCTCACCCGCTAGTCTTGCTTACCCACCTGGTTTCCCTCACCCACTGGCCTATGCAGACCATTTATCTCCGAAGAAACAAATCTTCGATGCGATGACTCAAAGTGACCTCGAATCTTGGAGGCTGCCAATTGGGACAGCCATGGGTTAACGGCCTGCCCAGCCATAAGACCGCTAACCCCTGTGCAATGATATTGTTTACCAGACCCATGTCCCAAGCTTCCCATCCCTGACCGTCTAACCTTGACCATCCATCCTTGCAGTTGTTAGTCGAGTTTTCACGGCTCTGACCTTGGTCGGTCCTAGCCCGAGCACCATTGAGGCTGGATGTCCAGGTTTTGATATAGCCTTTGACCTTGGATCATGGTATCACCCAAGTCCATGGTAGTTTCAAGACTTGGTCAGCAACAGAGCAGCAGATCGTATCTGGAGGCGCAAGCAGACTGCGGTCGCTAATCATTACCGGAGTTTTTCTTACCCTGCCAGTAACCTGGGTGAGCCAGAAAGGCTGTGGTTATCGAATAGTCAGTGAGAAAGAGCATGGACGAAAGAAAAAAGCTATTTAGATAATTAGTAGAAGCCACAGACTTTCCATTCTATAGGAACCTTTAGTAGCCATGTTTAGCAAATTCTTTATAACTTTGTAGAAGAGAATCTAAAATTCTAGTTCATTAGATAATATTCTACGGCGAGATTCAAATGAAAGTAAAAGGAAATAAAAGTTTATAATCAAAATATATTATATTCATCATTAGAACTCCGCAGCAGAATAAGCATGAGGAGGCGTTTCGCATGGCAGTCTAAGTGTAAACCGCGTGGTTAAATCTATCAATATTACTATCTCATCTTCAACCATTCTTAGCATCTGGGATAGAAGTAATTGGGGCGTGGGAATGAATCTATCCACAGCAACTGCCAGTTGATGAAGCATAAGTAGCTCACTATAAAGAGATCAGCCCACACAGGTTTCCACATACTATCTCCTGCAGTCATAAGTCAAATATCGACTCATACAAGGCCTATATCACTTTTCAAAAAGCAATAGACGTGGCTCTAATTATTATCATAGGTGGCCGATAACTGAAGGTGGTAGAAATGACATCAATCTGCTGAGGAAACCGGACCATTATCCGAACCGATGATAGAAGTGAGGGGACATTATGCGTGATTGAACAGAGTATATGTGAGTTTGGTAATTCCTTTGCCTCCTTGCTACATTTGCTAAGCTAGCCCAATCATCTATTCAGATTGAATCCAGCACCGTGAGCCATAATGTCAACCTCTGGCTGTAATATCCTCTCCAACCCTTCCTTCGAGACAGGCTCTCTATCGCCATGGTTCACCACAGCCTCAGATGTAGCCAGAGCCACGACTGCCACTCCTGCCTACACTGGAAATTACTCACTGTATGTCTAGTAACCTCTTCATCTACCCCAATCTAACACATATAACAGCGACCTCACAACTGCCCTCGACAACAGCCCCAATTCCTTCTCCCAGACCCTGTCTAGTCTCAACCGTAGCACGACTTACGACTTCTCCGTACAAGTCAAGCCCTCCGTGTCCGGGGCAGAGTTTTGCCATATTGCCGCGTACCTGGGATCAAACACAACCAGTGATACCATTGCTACCGCTGATCTCGAACCTAGTGATCAGTGGACCGCTCTAACCGGGGGGTTCACGGCCAATTGGTCCGCAGATGTTCTGACAATCAGTGCAGCGTGCACGTCGCCTAACAACTCGTATACTTGGCAGGTGTACTTTGATGAGGTTGTTGTGGAGAGGAGGCGATGCAGCGACTGAACTTGACTGGGACTCTTGAGAGACATTCTGTAGTAGAGGGTGCCCAGCTTCGTCCGTCGAGTCTCTCATGCAATTTCCATACCCAAGACATTCGTGGCATTTAACCACACACTCTTCTATTCCAATGAAATGAGAAGTTGCCTACAGCCTAGTTATAGTGTAGTATTCTACGTGATGCGTACATCTGACTTTCCAACTAATTATACTCGTCTGGAAAATGTCAGTTTCTATTTTGGTAAGCCTTGATGCCTGAGGCGGATGCGGCTTCGGCCTTATCGGCCGTATCGGGCCAAGATGGCTTACGGCCGACCCCCAACACCTATTCCAGACCAACCTCCCTGGTCTGTCCTGCAGTTTATGTCGCACTGCAGAGGAGACAGCCAACCAAAACAATCTTCGGCCAAAACCTTTGTACAATGACTAGTCCGAGCGTATCCAATGCAAGAAAGCGCAGACGCCCGGCGTATTCATGTGTTTCGTGCCGCCGTCGCAAAGTCCGATGCGATCGGGCCAACCCGTGTCGACAGTGTGTGACCCAGAATATTGCTTCAACCTGCACATATGAGCAGAATCGCAATGCGCATGCCGGTCGTGAATCGGTGCTCTCTACGACTAATGGAACAAATTATCAGAGGCAAAATGTTGAGAGTAATAGTGGCCAACCTTCACACACGCCTCACGCTTCATCGCAACAGGCTGCATCAACCCCGGGCCAGATCCAAGGCATGGTGTCAAAGACAAGAGTGTTCGGGCAGGGACATTGGATGAATATCTTTTCATTGGTAAGTTGACTCACGTATCAAACCTTGCTTGTGTTGACGACGTTACAGACAGAAGGGATGCCCAGCTTGCAGCCTCTCATGGGCCTCTACGACACCATCATACGAAATACAAGCCACGGCCCCTTCGATGCCATTGCTGATAAGATTGCTCAATGCAAAAAGCTAGCTCGAAGCATCAAAAGTCAAAGGCCAAGTCGTAGTAGCCTCCCGACACAGATTCATCAGTCACTTGCTGGTTCTGATATCGTCCTCGAATTGGCCCAGCTCTATTTCGCCTCATTCGAATCGTGCTACCGGATACTTCAGATGACTTCCTTCATGAAGCATTGCCAGACGTACCTGAATAACTACGAAGACACGGATATTTGTATAGCCTTGCAAATCTTTCTCGTGGTCGCTATCGCAGGTCCCTTGCATCAGATTAACAATGTTCGTATAGATGTGGCGTCAAAAGCTGGGATGTGGATTCATACAGCCCAGACATGGCTATCAGCCCCACTGGAAAAGAACCGCTTAACTTTGGGAGCCATCCAAGTCCACTGCCTTCTTCTCATAGCCCGCCAAGTAAATCAGGTTGGCGCCGATCTGATCTGGATTTCCACAGGCTCATTGATGAGAATGGCCATGCAGATGGGTCTGCACCAAGATCCCAACTCTCTGAGTGAGATGAAGTCTACAGAAAAAGAACTTAGGCGGCAACTCTGGTACACTATTCTAGAATTAAATCTACAGTCATCCTTGGATTCCGGGATGGTACCAATGATCGCAACTGGAGACTGGAATACTGAACCGCCAAAAGATAACAGCCTCGAATCCGAGCCAGAGATAGGCGAAGAGGAAGGTCCAGCGGCTCATAAGGCGACTAATCTCCAACCTCTACTGTCAAAGTCAATACCAGTCCGTCTGCATGCCTCCAGACTCATAAACGACTTGCGAGAGGAACCGCCCTACGATGAGGTCCTTGAGATCGGTAAAGAACTAGCCTCAGCATGCCGCGACATCTCTGTCACGCTTGACCAGATTAACTCTGCATCCCCGTTAGATCAGTTCACATCCAGCTTCTGCACCCATCTAATTCGACGCTTTACCTTGTGTCTTCACTACAAGTTTGCCATCATGGCAAGAGCCAATCCCCTATTCAGCCACTCTCGCAAGGCCGGTGTCGAAGCCGCACTAGATATAATAGCACTAGTCGAAGACAATCTGTACGGTCGTGTCCTACGCTGTGGAGGTGGCATGTTTCGTGACATCGTGACCCGTGCGGCAATACTCATATTCTCGGAATCCAGTCCCGACCCAGAAGCGGAAAGTTCAAGTCTAGCGAAAAGAAGGGATCATGCTCGGCAGGAAACTCTTCTGCGAGATGCCCGCTGCGTGGTCCAGTATGCAAAAGAAAGACTTCAGTACGGAGAGACGAATGTCAAGGTCTATATCTTTTATAATATGATGTTAGCCCAGGCGGAAGCTAGGCTTAATGGTCAGTCAGAGGAAGAGGCAGTTTCAAGAACACTGCATGAAAGCGTGGATGTTTGCTACAATATGATGCAGGACATGGTAGCCAGGGCATCTATCTCCGCTGGACCTAGTACTGCATCTCTTGAAGATAATCTCGATGGATTGGATCGTTTCGGGGAAGTCTTAGACCGCGGCTTCGATTACATCCACGACCGCGACTTCAACTTGGACTTTCCCGACCTGCAACTCTTCTCGGGATGGTGATGTTCATAGTGGAAATGGTCAGGGCGAGATACTATAATTGTAACTGACGACAAATGAATCTCCTGAAGCTCAATGTACAAGCTAGGTACGCTCAGCACCTAAACAAATTCAATATAATACCGCAAAACCGCCAGAACTTCCGATGCTTATCAGTTGTCGACCATGTTCGGATACTCCGGCAGTTTCCAGTCCTTGTTGCAATCTTCACGCAGAATCCATTGCGCGAGGACGTCCAGTCTCAAGAAGGATGCTATTGCAAACAGGAGATACACGACAGTGATCCCAAACGTAGATGAAGGGAGCCTGCTCATGTAATCGTGATCGTCCAAGAGTCCCTTTTGGACATTCACCATGAAGGGCTTGAGCTTATCCTCATAACTTTTGAAAGCCTCCGCGATATGCCCCTTGGAACCAGTGCCCTTCGCACAACGTTTGCTTATCTCCCCTGCCAGAATGTAAGCACCAACCATGGCACACGGGGTTCCCATTCCTGTCATAGCAGACGGACAATAAGCCGCATCCCCGACCAAGACAACACGGCCCCGCGACCAGCTATCCAGATTCACCACTCCCATGCGCTCACAATAGAAATCGTCCGCCTCTTCCATACCCCGGATAATCTCCTCCGATTTCCAACCTGCATCGTTAAATACCTGTCCCATAACCTGCTTCTCCCTCTCCACATCACCCCTGGTGCAACCCTCGAAAGGTCCAGCCTTGCAGAACATATACGCCTGTATCTTGTGCGGAGCATGACGACGCATCATAATACCCCGTCCCTGCGTAGTCATATACACCGTGGCGTCGTATCCCTCTCCCTTCTTCAGCTCACTATCGATCGTAAAATACCCAGCACACACCCCAATCAAGTGAACCTGATCCTCACCTTCAAGCATCATCGACCTCGTACGAGACCCCAGACCATCCGCACCAACAACGAGATCAAACCGCTCTTTCCTTCCATCCGACAAGACCACGTCAACAAACTCATCAGTTTGGTGCATCTCCACCACATAAAGTCCAAACAAATACTCCACGCGATCCTTAACAGCATCATGAAGCAGATGGCAAAGATCCCCCCTCATAATCTCATAATCGGTAGTGAAGCTCTGCAATCCTTTTCCACTTCGATTAGCAGGGAAATACCCCCATCGCCGGTTGCGGCTATCAACAAGCTGTAGACCCTGTTCTGGGACGGTGACCTTGCGAAAGGCTTTCTCGAGACCCATTCGTTGTAGGACTTCAATCCCAGGACTTCGGAGATCGACTTGAAGTCCTGTGGCTCGTAGACCAGGGTATCGCTCGATGATTGTGATGTTGTGGCCGAGTTTGGATAGCCAGAATGCGAGGGCGTTGCCGGCGATGCCTGCGCCGGAGATGAGGATTTTGAGGCCGGTCATGGTTCGTCTTCAATTGAGGCTGATGTAGTAAGGGGTGATAGGAATGATGGATGAGAAGTAATACTCAGAGCGAAGAAGAGGCACTGACTTTATATATATACGGTGGAACAGCATCATCTTCAAGCTATCCCTTCAGCGAGGCAGTCCGGTATATGACCGATAGGGCCGTTACGGCCGCTACGACCGAAAATCCCGTGATATCCGAATGCCCGAATTGCCCGAGTGCTGAGACGGCGTAGGAGTGGGGGCCAATTGGTTTTGAGAGTTATTATTCCATATCATAGATGTCATACATATTGCTAGAACATATTCGCTGGGTTGTTCAGCAGTCTCATGGTTCGCACGCACCACTTATCCTTCGCCGGGTCGGCCAGTAGACTGGTATTATTGTGCATTCTCAGGTGTCAACCATTAGACTTGGATATACGCGTGATAATTGAACCTAGAAATGTTTCGGAATGGAATACAACTACAAGGGGCTTTGTAGGGCTGGACAGGAATCTCTCGATCTGTGAATCAGACTTGAGTAGTTTCATAATATCAGTGTGCGAGTCGGGAATCCTCTAAGACTGCGTAAGGATAATAATTTATCTAACATCAGATAAAGGTATAGAACTTCACTGGCTACTATTGTCCTTATACTAGAGCGTCTTGCCCTGTGTGAGGATATATGCCCTCCTATTAATTGATACACGACTGGGTTAGTGGAGAACTACCACATTACATATCATAGCATACAATCCTAAAGCATCCCGGTATCATCTATCGTAGACCATCACAGTATTGCAATGCCCAGCGCTGCAAGTACTGCCTGAGCGATATTTTCATACGCCTGCCCTGACAGCTTCAACTTTATCCAGGACATAACCCACTCCATCTACTCGTGCCGAATCTTAAAGGTTTCTCATTCTAAGTCACAAAACTGAAATCATAACTCGTGCATTGGCAGTTATATAAAAGCAAATAACAATCTTTGTTCGAACTCCTTTCCCACGGCGCATATAGATGGTCATTCAGTAGTAGCCTGCATGCCTCAACAAGCGACGACATTGACATCTGCATCAACCCCTGCTCTCTCTGTAATGGTCAGCAATAGTCTCAGTAACATGTTTCCGTCTCTCATTTGCTGCGGCTGTCGACTGTGTCAACTGCTCCTCTTCACGCGGATTTGGAAGTCTCATGGAGCTGGGTTCGTAAGACACTCCGCGTTTTTTTCCAGACGAATTACCCTTGTCCATCATGAATTCAGCCTGGGAAGCACTAAGGTTAAGTCGGAATGCAGCTTCGTCACGACCTGCGTTCTGGTCGCCTGAAGACATGAAGGTGATTGAGACTCGTTGCTGGATCACTAAAACAATGGTGAGTGAGCCTGAGAGATTCCTGTGTGACCTTTGGTATCAGGAGAATGCGGAGATAAATCTGAGGATAGCAGATGAGATCGAGGAAGATGTTATCTGGTATCTCTGATTGAGATCTTTTTTCGAAGAGGATGAAGACAGCTATTTATCTTGGAGATGGAAGAGCTGTTCGAGGGCTTTTTTGCTCATATCAAGTGCTCTTAGGATGGTGCCGATGAGTATAGTTTGCCTGTCAGTATATCTCACGGTGAGAGATATCTACGTGCTGTGTTCAGCAAGGGAATACTCCTACCAACATCAGTATATAGCAACTATACGATGGCAATCGCCCAGATGAAGCCGTAGTCATTGTTAAATAGAGCCCGAAATCAGACTGAGTTGGAAGGCTATGTGATTCATCGGAGCTAATGTTAAGGGACATTTCTCTCATTTCCTGGTCCTTATAGTATCTATCATTGAAGTTTCCTACCCAGGCATGTACTAGATGACAGCCACCTAGGGTATTGAGTTAGAAAGGGAATGAGTTGTCATCGGGTTTTATCGTTGAACTTATGGCAGTAATAGCACTAGTAGAGATACACTTGAATTTGGGTGTCGAAGAAGGACGGGGCTACCGTGTGATCCTTGTACTAAGTATATCATACAACATAAGAATTAAAGAGTTCTCTAGAAACTCACCGTAGAAGTTTGCAGGGGCATGAAGTATAAGGTTTTACATATTTAGAATGCTACGAAGTTTAATTAAGCTTAAAAGGATAGAAAAGTAACTTGCCGGCCTCTAACCTACAGAACACTAGTCTACGAACCCAATGAATCTCCCAGAGAGGAAAAAAGAAACTCATAACAGATGTTATAGAATTGAATGTTAATGACACAATTGTTAACTCTATGATGTTAAATATCTAATCATTCAGAATACAGATCCTAGATTGAGTAGCAAAGGACCTTTCCGTAGATAAGAGCATATAGATCTGGCAGTTTAAACTTAGGGAAACCCCCCTCCCCCAAAGTTAGTCCTCAATTCAATGCCACCACTGGCGCCCTTCTGCCATTGCACCATCATCTTCATTTGTGATCACGGCATCCTATCTTGTAACTCCCAGGAACCCAGCATACTCAAGCGCCAACGCTAATAGCAATAAGCCCTGGGCATGTGGCTATCACCGTAAGATTTACAGGAGTTTACCTATAGAAAAACGCCTCTCAATTCGTAGTTCCAAAGCTATGTAGCTAAAACTTATACTACCTCGCCTGAACAAGTCTACAGATTAACTGAATGGGGCTTTTCTTTTAACGGAGTACAAAGCAGCATTCGCCAGATTGACAACTCGTGGGTGCTGTGATACACAGGGCTTGCAGAAGACCCCTTCCCCCGAGTGTTCTCTACCCAGAATTCAGCCCTACAATTCATATCGAGCATTTGAAGCACCAGCGAAATGATGCGGTATGCCATTGATTGCCGGCGTAAATATGTTGCCAGGCAGTTGTTTCGCAAATTAGCAAATGATCGTTGATTAACTCCATGTACTCGTGATAGTGAATCAGGGCCATTCCGGCTATGATACGACGATCTCCTGCCTCCCAATGTGCTCCTCAACACAGGTATGCAAATCGTGGGCGTGATAGACTGGGAATTCTCCTACGCAGCACCGGCAGAGTTCTCAGCTGCACCACCGTGGTGGCTTCTACTCGAACAATCAGAGTATTAGCCCGTTGGTATTGGGGCTTAGACAGAGGAATACTAGCATCGGTTAGAAACCTTTCTGAGGATGTTGGTTGAGCATAAACAATCCTTCATGAGCTCTGGATGCTTGAGGCAGGGATAGAGGCACTCAGGGCCTATGCAAGGAGTTGGCAAAGTGGTAGTTTCTGGGTCAGTTATGCAGCGTGAAAGAGTTTTGCTTTTGATGCGATTTCCTGCCAGAAGATTGACGAGCGGTCCTTGGTACCTGCCGAGTCGCCTGTAGAATCATAGAAAATGGCAGTCAAAATTGCCTGCTAAGAAGGAAAAGGAGATGTAAAGGCATGTGCAGAAGAAGCTGAATGATATGAATGGGAGCGTTTGGTGTGGAAGCCTTGATGAATAGGGTGTTATTATTAGTCATAATTTGTACGCCTTGAGGAGCAAGGCATAGATGTCTATAGGGGTCATAAGATTGGGATGTTCCAGGCAACTTCAACCTCTACTTTCGAGCTTCTGTATATCACTAGCATGAGATGTTCCGAGCTAACTGCCGAACTGATCTACATTAGCTCCCTTTAAGGGCAATGTGCGGGAGATCTTTCATCCGCTGTACTAATATGCCGAATAATCTATCCGCATTATGGATAGCACTCTACGGTGAAACAGCTATCTGACGGGTCATAAAGATACCCTGACCTCGGTGCAGATGTAGGCAGCAGTCTTAATTGATAGATGCCTATGTAGCATTGAATTGCAGCAACGACACGTAACCTTCACAGCTCGAAGATGCAGCTACGAAAGGGGCTGTGTTGATTGTTTGAGGGGTACAGAGTAGTCTAACCTCTTTGCGAGAGGATCCGAGTCTCGTGATCAGCATCATGCAGTGTGGGATTGGATGTGTGAGTATGTGATTGGCTGATGAGCTGCAGAACGTCTCTCCCCGCTTCCGGTGGCGGGTATGGGGTAATGATAGGTTGGTGGCCTCAAAATTGGGTCTCCAGTGCAGTAGGGAGGCACGAAACAGCACTTGTTAAGTCATGACCCGGTCGGTAATTCCATTCATTTGTAAAAGGAGTTAAATAGAATAAGTGCAATAACCAGCATTGCTTCTCAATTCAATGCTAATCCGCGAAAACTAAACCAGCAAGTTAATGCCCGGTCAAATTCATAATCCCGAAACCAACAAATTCATGCCTCGTCTCTTCCGGAGAGTAAAATGAAACCCAAACTCCATATGCGCCATCATTCATGAAGCCGTAACCATATTCCACGCTAAGTGTGCCCGATTGTAATGCAATAATTGTTTCCTCCATCATGGATGATCACTGAAGGTCGTAGACGACCAGCGCCCGTTCGATATCCTGGACTGTTTCTTTGTCGCCGTAGGCATCCATCAGGGCCCGGTTCTTTCGAAGACGTTCCTCTTCTTCACGATCGAACTGGGGCTGGCGGGCTTGGTTTTCGTAGTAGTTGGCGACTCCGAAGCCTGTATAGTTAATGGTTAGTTGGTGGGAGTGGATTTATGTATTGAAGGGTGGTGTGTACCGAGAGCTATGGCGCCCATGAGCGGGAGATACCTGTATTCATTAGCTATTATTCAATACGTCATCTGGGGAGTGAAGGCACACTCACCACCGACTAGGCTTCTTGAACGCGGGACTTAGAGTAGGTCTCTTGATGAAAGGCTGCGAGCCAGAGGGAGAAGCCGAGACGTTCATGGTTGGTAATGTTGTAGTGATGATTTGATGTTCAGTTTAATTGATGTGTCTTGTTAAGTGTGAAGCGGATACTGGAGGATTCAGTGACGGCTAGACCAAGGTTTATTTATAAGATGGGGGTGTTCCCGACGATCACCTTATTTTCGGGTTGGGGGAGTGGAGAGTATCCTGATTATGGCATGATCGGGAATCGTCATACGATGGATTTGCCGATCCCCCTCAACGTCACAGCATACCTGCATTATGCAGCATATTCATCAACATGATGTTGCATGTGGGAATAGTAGATTGAATTAAGCATGGCTTGTGATTGTTACAGCATTCCCTACTCTTGCTTGCCACTGGGCTAGGATATTGACTGGGGAGGATGAATGCGGTGTCAGGCTTCACTATTTGGTAGATGAGCGATGAATAGCATTCCTGTCCTGTCTGCTATATAATCTGCTTCTGTCTGTGTTCTCTCCTTTCCTTTTCTTCCTTATCATACTGCTATGCTCATTCCAGGAATATACACCCACATTGATGCCCTTGCGCAGCGATATAGGGCTAAACTATATAATTGATCCTAAGCGCCCGAAAGGCTTAGTGGTCGCGTGCGCTGCATGGGACATTCTGATTGAATCGATCAATTACCCTGTCCCCTACTACATCATATCGACTCTGTCTGAATACGCGTTCTGACCCTGAACAATCTCTCTTAACAACAGCTGTCATACTCCCGCTTGGCGGAATCATACATGCCTACTGAAGATGAACTTAGCCTTAGCATGTCCGGCTGGCGACACAATATATAATCGGGCACTGGTGAGGCAGAAGAACAAGTAATCTTCGAAAAATTGCCAGACAACATGGGGTGGTAAGCACTTTACCTTACCATACTCAGCTGATCATACAACGACATCGAAACCCCCCAAGAGGTAAGAGGTAACATCATGAAGTAGTACTATTTGTTTCTAACTTATAGCCAGAGCAATGGGAAGGGAAATTCCCAAAAAACCGTCTAATCAACACAGTAGAACATCGGACACAGAGAACCTGGATTGACATAATCTCAGCAAGACCACTATCGTCGTCAATATGATATGCGGAAATACGACCCAGCTCTGCACGAATTTCTCTTCTTCAATCAGCCAAGTCTAAGGGCTTATCTATTCTGAACCCTAATACTACCTTATAGGGTTGGAAATAGCTGCGAAAGGGCTGTATAAGTGTCTGAAGCGATCGTACGCTCCATGATCTCAAAGATGATCATGACATATCTGCAACTTCCTACAAAAGTTTCCTCGACAGGTCTTTCTATATATCTCCGCGGTACGGCAAATAGGCCCGGTGTTGGAATCACTCAAATCTTTCTAATGCCTTCTTCGTTTGAAAACATTCCCGGAATATGGAAATAGAGGGGTACTCCCTCGGGTGTACAACCATTCGGAAGGCTCAAAACCTGAAGAGCCACGAACGAGGACAAGGTCTTCTGGATTACTGGCCTGGAAACGGTGAGGACACAACCCTGAGGCACATACTTATACTCTCTGTTGCTAAGTGCACTATATTTGAGTATTGCAATTCCCTTCATGCACCCGCTGAATCAAGCATGAGCCATACTCCAGCAATCTGATAGTACTTGAGACATGGTATGGGTTTTCGCAATTCGAATATGCCTCAAAATATATCAGAAAGAAGCAACTGTTGTCATATCACTGTGCCATGTCTGGATTGGATGCAAGTGATGTGTCCTGTCCTTCTGGAATTATAAATATGGCAGTTGCTATTTCGATACATGGGATCCGTGGCAGAATGGAGAGCGTTCGAAGTCGAGAAGCAAGAGTGTTTCGGAGAGTTGTCTGAATTCCTGCGAATGAATAGGCATGTTGACCACGGGTATGCAGAAATGGCGGGCGTTATGGCTATATAAAAGCTGCACAATGGCCAAATACTGAACTTAAGCTTTCCATCTGCCGTGCCTACGTTGACACAAGAAGAGGAGGCGTATACATCGCAAATAAGACTCTTCGAATAATGTCTTGGCTTCGAAGATATTGGCAGAACCAAGAGAGCCCGAAGGAGGGGGTATCTTTGAGAAGGCAGAACCTTTTCTGCATCAATGAACTTGGCATCTGTGTTCAAGGTACAATGGTTTATGGAGACAATTAATCTGCTTATATATACCAGAAACTCGGAAGCGGGCACACTAAGGAATTGATTAAAGCGGAGCACAAATGTCTACACGCTTTATTCTCCTTGCCAGCAATCTTGCCGGACCTGGATAGCTAAGTGGCAAGATTACATTCTGTCTGCAAAGTTAGCAAATTACCTGGCTTGTCCGGTCGCTGTCCCACACTACATATCAAACTCAATGGGACTGTTCATTCGTCTTCCTGGCTATGTGGGCCGTGCGGGGATGGCTCCATCAAAGAACCTTCGCCCGCAGAGAGGCAGAGGGGCGGAATTACGAGGAGGTAGTTGACCATGGTCTCGATCTCATTCTATCCGGCATTTGAATGCTTGGACAGACAGTTCATTCAATCTTGAGGATATTCGGCCATCCCCAACTCCACTTATATACTCTCTGAGAAGTAACCCAAGATCTGAGAAGACATGAGACTTCTTCCACGGAGATGTGCTCTGTGGTATACACCGTGGCGCGAAAGAAATACATAGTTGTCGATGCCAGTCTCAAAGACCGAATGATGCAAATTGATAAGAAGATGGACGCGCTCGATGACCTTGACCCATCTGTCTTTGATACTGAGAATGTCCTCCTCTCCCTTAATTACCTTTACTCGCCTAGCTGCAAACTCATTATTTGTGGGCTGGAGTGTGGGGTGACAGCTGAGGATCTTATGGGTTGGCTTGAGCCATACAAACCAGTTCGTGGAGAAGTACACAATGATGATAAAGGCGTCGTGTAAGAAGTTCCTTCCCTTTATAATTAAGATATCTCCTGCTGACTATGGGTATATAGAACGTTCTCCAACTGTTGCAAGAGTGGAACCGGTTCGGTAATCCGAGCGATGCATCATCAAAGGAAATGGATTCCGCCGCGGCTTACGGGTACACCTATCAAGACAGAACTCCGAATCCTACAAAGTGGAATTTGGTATACTGTATTCGTCGTTACTACAGATACAGACCAGATGAGTTCGCATATCTGCACTACCGAAAGGTATCGACGCTCGGAACCCAATGGAGCGGAAGATAAGAGACCATTTCGGCATTTATTCAGGGCCTTTAACCGATGCAAGAAACTTGCAAGACAGCCTGGTTGTCCATAGGAAGTTCATTCCTAATGGATTTGAACTTCGTTGATTCGTGTGTTTAACAAGGGAAATCCATGGAAGAACTCAGAAAAAGCCCTTGAAGTGATGCGCAACAGCTACTCGGCTGTTATCACATTGGCTATGAAGAGCGACTCGTTCGTTTGCCACAATACACCAGGCGAGGACATACATTTCTTCCTCTTATATTATGCATCCATACCCCTGATCATAAAGCTCTGGGTATCTGGATGACCGGATCCGAGAGCTAGCGAGCCGAGCCTCAGACTGTCCTCTACATTGTAGATCGATATGGCGACACGTCTGAAAGTCCCGCAAACTCAATGGCTCCTGTCCTGGGGTCCTGGCCGCCAAAGCGCAAGGACAAAACTAATCAGGACATACCGTGGCCTATACCGTCCATGGACAATACATTTCGACGAAGGAACTTTCCAGAGCCACATCCCGTTTTGGAAGAAGTTTGACCATCGCGGGGCTGTCTACCTCGTCAAGGGAGCTATACCCAGAGCCATCTTGGGCCAAAGTCATAGCCGTTGTATAGATCACAGCTGCCAATAATGCATTTCTATCTTTCTTAAATGCCAGCAGCGGCAAGTAGATGCCAAATGACGAGTCAGAGGGGGAAATCGACGGCAGACTTTGGGACAGCTTCAGACAATATACATGTCTCCGGCAATACTACATCGCATATACTGCTTGCTTGCTGGAGAATAACCGAAGAGGAACGGCACAATGAGGCGTACAATATACCAAAGGTGTCAAAACACAGAATAAGGATAATCTATACAGGCGGTCTGTGTTTGACTATCTTTATATCTGCGGATGTGCTCAGAAACGACACAGTCTATGCAAGATGGGCTTCACCACATACAACTCTCCAATTTCCTATGTCACTGGCAGACAGACAAAATCTTGCATTACATACAATGAAGATCACATACCGAGACGTGATTGTCCTCGTCCAGATCACATCGCCAGAATGAATCGGTGGCAATAAAACAGCTTCCTGACCTGCGGAGCACAGTCATATATACCCTCCAACCATTCCACATCTACCAGGAAGACAACCTGTCCATATATGGCGACAACACAAGACCTAAGTCTTTCTGAGACTTCTATTCCGCAAAGGGATATATCATGGATGTCATCATTTACAACCGGCCTTTGTTGAGCAGGGCCGAGTCAATCGCGTTGGGCAAATTCACATTGTCCAGGTATATGACTATCTTGTGCCTGATTCCTTTCAGATCTCTTTGAACAACCGGGCGACACAAAAGGCGTTACCGGGTGTCATGACGGATATGTCTTCCTCGCTTGCATCTCTTCTCGATCCTGAAAAGGATTATGTTGAAGCGAACAAATGGGTCCTTCGGGACGGTTCGTCTCTCTTTTCATTTTTGTTTCTACTATACCGTGGACCATCCCGCTGTGCATCTCACAGAATACAACCAACTCCTATAGGGTTACTATGTATAGTACTGGCATATTCGGCGCCACTCTCTAGCCAAGATCAGATCGACAGGAATGCCAGACGGGACCTTTGACGCAACATGCCTTTGACTTATGGCTATACCGGTATTTCTACTATGGAAGAGTTCAGACTCCACAGGGATCAACGGGTTGAAGATGCTAGTTTAATTCGGAGAAAGCTGAGAGAGGACATGTTTGGTGCTGATTTCGACGATCGCTACATAATTGTATTGACCGATTACTACACCTTGGAGTCGAGGCGATCGATTCCTCGGCCGTGGCAAAATGGTACAGAAGCGCGATGTTCTACGGAGTACAAGTTTAGAAGTCCCGGGCTCCTAAGCCCCTGCTTAAAAGACAAAGCACAAGACAGGGATGGCTATCAAACAGGTACTCTGTTCTCTGACTCTGTAAGCGATCAAGAATCTAACCTGTGAATATCCTAACTTATTGCTGTGTCCGTGTCTTCCAAAAAAAAAAAAAAAAAAAAAAAAAAAACCTCTCAGTGCGCACCCACATATATTTTCTCTCATGAGCATTGAAAGAACTAGAAAAAGAACATTGAAAGCAGATATCGCAATGCAAAACCTCCCCGGTCCAAGGGAGATAAAAGGGTATATTTATCATATCGATCCAAGAGCAAATGGCTAGCCGATACATGTCTCCTGCGTCGACGAGAACCCTGCATATGGGTTGATGCATCTTTGCACGTAACTTAGACGTGATTGTGAATACAGACCGAAAACCCTGATCACGGCGGGGTGTTTTATATGTCCCCGGAATCAAACTCTGCGTCAATGCTTTTTCATGTGGGGTATTCTATATATGTTGAAACTTGGATACCCTTTGGCAGTGCTTTTTCTACAGGACGGGAGGTCTTCAGAGATTTAAGATCATTGTGTGTGGTGTGGTGGAATCAATTAACGAGGGATTGGCAGTTGTAGGGCGTGTGGGTGGGAGGATAGATACGAGTCTCTTGATGACAATCTCTTCCTTCCTGATCGAGTTTTCAGTGGCTGTTGCTGGGTGTGGTATAGAATAAAATGGCTATTCCTGGAAACATGCTATTGTGTTGTCAGCTTTCGGTTAGGGATGCTTAACCAGTTTGTGTCTATCCAGTCGATGGCGAAGATGCTATTGATGAGTTGAGTTGTTGTAGTGGGATGAGATGGATATCGTTGATGTTATGGCGTTGCATACTTGCCGTGGCTGTTAATGGGGGTGTCGAAATGGGAGAAGCCAAGGTGGGAGGGACTCTATGATCAAACTGCAGACTCGGCGTGTATACTATTCATGAAGATCTAGTCATTCTTCTGGCTGCTTTGAATAACTCAGTTGCATGATGCTATTCAATACAGAGTTAAACCAACATAACCATTTAATTCATTCAACTATCTAAGCACTAACCGCGGCCTGCGCAGTCCCCTCAACCTCCTGCACCCTCGCCTCCTCCTTAACATGCTCACCCTCAAAGCTCTTCATAGGGTAAAATCCCCACTTCTCAAACATCGCTCTATCCTCATCCCACCCATTACAATCCGTCGTAAGCATCTTCTCACCCGTAAACACAGCATTAGCTCCCGCCATAAAGCAAGCAACCTGCTGCTCCTCACTGAGGGAAATTCTGCCCGCCGCAAGTCTAACAATAGTAGCCGGCATAACCACTCTAGCAGTCGCCACCGTTCTCAAAATCTTATCAAACGAAATCATCTTCCTCTCTCCCAGGGGAGTCCCCGGAATCGGCACCAGAGCATTAACCGGGAAACTCTCGGGATGCTTCTCCAACCCAGACATGGTATAAATCAACCCCACGCGATCCTCATCCTTCTCACCCAGACCCAAAATACCCCCAGAGCAAACATTAATCCCCGCATCCCGCACATTCGCCAACGTCTTCAACCGCTCATCATACGACCTCGTCGTAATAATCTCCGGGTAAAACTCCCTCGACGTATCCAGGTTATGGTTGTACGCCGTCAACCCAGCATCCTTCAGTTCCTTGGCCTGCGCCTCGTCAATCATTCCCAGAGTCACGCACACTTCCATCCCCATGCCCCGCACCCCGGACACCATGGCTTTGATGTTCTTCAGACTGGTCTTGCGGCCGCGCATGTCGCGCCAGGCGGCGCCCATGCAGAACCGTGTGCTGCCGTTGGCTTTGGCAGTGCGGGCGGCTGTGAGGACTTCGTCGACGGGGGACATCTTGGTGGCTTTGAGACCGGTTTGGTACCGCGAGGATTGTGCGCAGTAGGAGCAGTCTTCGCTGCAGCCGCCGGTTTTGATGTTCATTAGCGTGCACATTTGGATGGCGCTGGGGTCGTGGAAGCGGCGGTGGACAGCTGCCTATATTCATTGGGGCATGGTTAGTGAGGGTGCTACTTAGGTGGGGGTTGGCGAGGATTAAAGGGCTTTGGGGGAGCGTACAGCAGCATAAGTAAGCTGGTTCAGAGGCGTCTCGTAGATCTGTTGAATCTCTTCACGGGTCCAGTTGGTGCGTGGTGCAGTGGCGGCAGTGGCTTCACGCAGAGCAGTTGGGATACGGCTGGCGATGGCGGCGGCACTGGGGGAGGTGGATTGCACGGTGCCATAGTTGCGGCGGAGGAGGACCCCGGGGAGGGTACGGAGAGACATTGTGTGATGCTTTGTGTATGTGTTTGTCTCTGTGTTGTGTGTGGTGTGTGTGTGGATGGGTATGTAGTATATGGAGTGGTGGAAAGATGAAGAGGTACTGGGGAAGAGAAGAGGGGAGATGATTGTTGACAGTGAGTGAGTGAAGGAGTGTTCCAGGCTACACACTATTAATTAACTACTACGGAGTAATTACTAGACTGCTCTCTCTCCATACTGCTAACTAACACCTCGGGCGAAAAGAGGGGCAGCAGACTATTACTACTTACTATCATCTCACAACAACCGGATTAACATTAGTGTCAGACAGATAGTTGGCCAGCCAGTCAGCGCCGATCGAATGGAATTGAGCATGAGTGAGTGTTTGTTGCGGGTGGGCGGCAGCCCTTGTTGACCCCAACCGGGTGTGGTCAACCACAACATCCATACCCTAGTAATTGACCAAGTTTGATGATTTGATTCAGAGGAGATAGTGGTGTTGATTGACTTTGTCTCCGGTGAGATGATTTGGCTAAATTGATGGATCAACTTCTTGATCCCAGATAAAATTAGGCATAGGAGAATTAATGGCTGCTCGGAGGGAACTGGCTTGGGGGGTTGGCTTGGCTGCATGTGCTTTGCTGGGGGAAGCAAATCCCACACAGTCAGAGTCAACTTCCCTCAATCCCTCCAGAGTCGAAGAATGGGGTTATGACGATGGAAAGATCCACTTGTTACGGACCAAAGGAGCTCCGCTGCAGCAACCCGGAACACATTGCCGCTGATTGGTTGTTGAGTCTCAAACAGTCTGGCTCTGTTCGGGCCGTCGGTGAGGATGCAATTGTTAAGCAAAACGAGGATCGGAATCACAAGGGGAAAACAAAACTTAATTCCTTCTATGCCAATCACAATGTCATTGTTTGTCCGTTATGTCATGTCTATGCCTATACTAT